CACACACACACAAGGGGGAAGAGAGAGAGAGAGAGAGAGAGAGAGAGAGAGAGAGAGACACACACACACACACACACACACACACACACACACACACACACACAAACACACACACACACACACACACATGCACGCGCCGGCTTTAGCTCTCCATGTCATTGGCTTAGATGAGCCTTGACAGCAGAGGGCCCACCCTCAGCGTATCCTGAAGGGAGGAGAGGGGAGGGGAGGGGCAGGGGACCACATCGCAAAACTATTAGTGGCTTAATTGACAGTTAATTAATCTAAAGTCAATTTGACCTTGAGACCTGAGGTGGACTGCTGCACCAGGAAGACTGATGTCGTCTTATCGCTGGCCTGATCTACGGCTCCAACACCAGATGAAGTGTTTGCTGTGTCTGTGTGTGCATGTGTGACACGTGGCACCTTATCTGCCTATTGCCGGCTTATTTCGCTGAGTTTGTCATTTAGGTGTTAAATAGTTGTCGGCTTATCTCGCAGGTGGCTTCATAGCTACAGTCTGTGTGCGCGAGAGTGCGTCTGTGTGTTATCGAAAAGTTAAGGACTATTTTAGATTTTTTTTCTTATGAGTGTCAATGTGTTTTTTGTTGTTGTTCTTTTATGAATTTGAGACTTGAGGCAAAAAAAAAATTTAAGTTGAGGCAGAGGACTTTTTTTAAATACTTGAGTCTTTTTAATGAAAAGATTGCAATGATTTTTTTTCTTTTAGAATTGTTTGCTCCATAAAAATCTCAGAAGAATTTCACTTAGCACTTGTACAATTAAGTCTTCCCCCATTTTAGATTTGGACTTTTCATCATCATCATCATAAATTAATAATAATAATATGGTTTTTTTTTTCTGTTAAGAATAACGGTTAATTTCCTGCAAGGAATAACTCTCCGAGTCTGAGTCTCCAATGTCAGCTTTACAGATGCCACGCAGTGTGCTGTGTAGTCACGACTTCTCGGATGCATTTTACTGCATTTTCCTCCAAGCAACAATATTTCAAATAATGAGCATAATTTGAACCATGATAAAAAATAATGCTGTTTTACTCTGCTGTCTCTGTCATACATTGATGCACGAGGTGGGGATGGACATTTTTTTTTGGCAACAGGTTGGGGGCTGCTGCTGTGGATGTCGCCACCGTCCAATCCACTTCCCCACTCCCTTTTACAGGCTACTATAAGAAGCTAATAAAAGTCACCCACGGGCACTGAGGAATTTTTGTCTACCCTGAAGACAATAAGGGGCCGTTTATTTCAGGTGAGGTATTGATTCATTCAACCCACCCATTAATTGGGGAGTCAATTTGTTGACACATTGCACATTTACCTGGCGAAAAGTCAAATAAGTCCCCTTAATGCGACTGTCTGATCTTCGTCAACCGTTTATCCCGCTGCGGCCATTTTTTGCTCGTCAAACATTTCAGATTAAAAATTCGACTTCCCGTCGAGCGAGCAGTCGGTTCCACAGCTGGCATTCAATCAAAAACAATAAATTTGCCGTTTTTGGGCGTCGGAATGCGTGGCGAGCGTGACGAATTTGTCTCCGCTTTGTGTCGCGCTGACAGGACGGAGGCGAGGCGTCTCGGCCGACCGACTTTGTGTGATTAAAGAGACGACGGGCGCAAACCATCTGCCTGTCACGTTCATCTGTCATCGCCCGGCGCTTGCCATCAGCTGCTCATCACTCAAAAAAAAAAACCTCAACAACAACAACAACAATGGCGGGGAGGAGGAGGTGCAGCTTTAGAAATATCGAGAGATTGGTGAAGGAGCTGCATAGACGGGCTGCAGCAAGAACACATTAATTCAAGGCTAGCCAAGCAGCTGTAGGTCTGCAACAATCGAATATTTTGGTATTTGGATAGCCTACTGAAAACTCTATCGAATAATCGATGCAAAATTGTGAGCAAGCGCAAAATCAATGCCTTGAGGCATGATGGGGAAAAAAAAAATACGGTGCTTTTAGCATTTAGCCGATGTTATACCAATATGTTTGAACGACTGCAGTGCGTTCGAACAACATAGGTAGCCTCGTCAAAAATGTTTACTCAACGTTGGCACTTCCACGCCTGCGTAACTTTTGAATTGTCCTGAGGCTACAATTCGCTTTTTCATATTTGAATTTTTTTGTCATGGGCAGTGTGTTCTTTTAACATCACTTAAAAATAATTTGAATATTTCTCAGAATATGACAAGTCTTTAAAAGTACCTTTTTTTCCCCCCTCATAGTAAAAACCAAAGGTTACTTACATTTTTTTTTCTCGTAATAGTATAATGACATTTTCTTGGTAACCAACTTACCCACACCGCCAAAATATGACTCGAAATTGCCAACTATATCTTCATTTTGAGAACAAAAATTGGACTTATTTTTCTAATATGAGTTTTCGAAAGAAAACTCATGGTTACGATATTACCTCCGGATTTTTTTTTTCTGCTCACATACTTTTTTTTTCTTTTTTTAATTACTTGAAAATTGCAGACTTATATTGTGGCCCATGTTTTAATTTAACTTGATTTTCTTGAAATAGGACTGCATTCTTGTAACATTTCCAACTTTTTATCTCTTGCAAAATACATTTACCTCTCTTCAAGCTGTTTTTGAGCAATTCATGATCATAGTCTTGTAAAATTACCAACATTATTTCTTGGAGGAAAAAAACGTTCTCAACCCATTAATCACTTAACAATAACAAACCCGCATTTATGAATTCTTGTAAGGTTTTGGAAAAAAGAAATACTCCGACTTTATTCTTGAAACATTCAACGTATTTATTTTTATGTATTCTCAAAACATTTCAGATTTTATTTATTTTTTTTATCTCGGGGGAAAATTTCAACCCTTATTTTTTATTTTTTTTAAAAGAAACTGTCTTTTTTTTCATCACTCTTTTTCAGCCTTCTGTATTTCCTTTCCCCGGATAAAGACACCGTCAGCAAGCAGCCCTCATCTTTCATCTTCATATTCCTGGCTGGGTTCCCTCTTTCCCCACCTCCACCTCCATCTCTGTCCTCTCCTTCTGTCCTGCAGCCACATTCCCTGCGTCTCCCCCCGCCCCCGCCCCCTCCTGCCGACTATCTCCCCGGGATTATCGATTTGGCGTAGCCCGTGATGGAGTCTCACTGGGCGTAATGCGGGGCCCCAAAGGTGTCTTCGGAATGGAGAGCATCATGACTTATGGACTAAGTATAGTAAGGCTTCCAAAACACCTGAATTGCACACACCAACACACTCCCCAATGCAAAGCACCCGTGTACGGAGACAAAGGATGTGCACATTGATCGTATGCAATGAATTCGCACTGCTGAAATGGCAAAATGTGACGAGAGGGAAAAACTCCAAGGTGTCATTTTGTGTCTTTTTGATTTTTTTTTTTTTCGTCACATCCAGGTGTCTTTTCAACAATTGCGGTAAACGGTGGAAATATTCCAGGGTCAAACGTCCCCATTAGGCAATGTTTTAAGTCGCATTATAACATCCCTGAAACAGTGGTGACTTCAGATAGGAGTGACCCGTCGCAAGTGTTTTTCGAGATTCAAGACATTGATCGGACCATTTCTTGCTTTGCGATTTTTTTTTTTGGGTTTGAGAGCGCCAACTTAAATGGCAAGCAGCAGTTAATGGAAAGTAAACAATTCTTCCAAAAAGAGGCTTCAAGTTGTTTATTGCCACTCCCAGGTGAAATTCACAGTTTACATCTAGGTCGTGATTAAAAAAAAAAAAAAATTATAGACGTGCTTTTTTAAAAAACGTTTTATGCTTTATTTACTGCATTTTCCGCATTATAAGGCGCTTCGGAGTATTAGGCGCACCTTCAATGAATGGCCTATTTAAAAATTGTTTTAATATAAAGGGTGTGCCACATTATAAGGCACATAGACTAGAAGCTACAATAGTGGCTGCGGTTGCGCTATGCATCCACTACATGGAGCTACGCGAAAGGGAATACAATACAATACAGCTTTATTTATAGAGAGCTTTCACAACCACTGCGGCTGTAACAAAGCGCTTTACAGAACATTTAAAACACTACGTCCAAGAAATCAGAATATCGATCTATATATAAGGATTAAAAGGCGCACTGTCGGCTTTTGAGAAAATGGAATGCTTTTAGGTGCGCCTTATAGTGCGGAAAATACGGTACCTGCTTGAAATAAACCAAATCAATAAGATTTTGTTGTATTTTTTTATTCCTTAATTTCCCCTCACAATCTTTTCATGAACATGTTAGTAGTATTTATTAGAAGTGGAACGATTCAATTTGGTTCAACTCAGCGGGAACACAATTGGATTCGATAGAGTATAGCCCAGTTTGAGAGTTTATGATGCAATGACTTTTTTGTTGTCATTTAACATAAATTTGGCTGAACTTGTCACAATTGTAAATATGCCTTTTCTTTCTAAAATAATCGTGTCAATAAATGGCAATTTGAGACGTATCATAATATATTTTAAAGTGGAATGATTTGATTAGATTCTTTAGACTTTTAAATCCCAAAAAGATTTTTCGATTTTAATCTTTATTTTTTCTTCAAACCTGATTGTACATGCAATAAGCCTAATTTTGCATTTACCGAAGCAATGGAAAATAATGTTTCGAGTGGAGTTTTTTTAACATAACTCTTGTAACATGTCATAAACATACTTGAAATAAACATATACCCTATAATTTGAAATTGCATTTTTACTACCTTAATTTCCCATCAGTCACTAGCATATGTGAGCATTAATTACACATTGAATTAATTGCATTCTCCTCTCTTTTTCTGAAACAAGAGATAAACAAGTATAACTGATATTAATAACAACCAATTTGGAGTTAACTTTACATATTGACAAATAATAATAATGACAAACATGCTAAATAAATGCTCCCCAAACTTTTATCCATAAGGTAGCACAGAAAATCGTTCGACAGTGGTGGTGATCGTGGTGTCGGGCTGGGGTGCTGTTGTACATTCACAATCGAGATGTATGTGCTTTTTTTCCTTTCTTGATCTATCTGTGAGGCTCAGTACCAAATGTTGGGGACCTCAATGTTAAGTTATCTGTAATTCTCATTTGGATTCCCAAGCATGCGGTCGAATTACAATTGATTCCCTCCCGCGTGCTGAAGTTATTCATGCAACGTCGCTGGTTGCCGCCACATATTATTGATGATAGTTTGCGGGGCTTACAATGGGGGCTGCGTAATTGATTAAAAGGCGTTTATTGTGATGCTGCTTCCAAAAAGAACGCATGCTTTTATCATCCATGCATTAACAAAGGCACTTTCTCCTGGAGCATGCTACCCAAAGCCCAAAAGCAAAGGGCGCTCATTGATAATGCGTGAATCCTATTCGGATTGGCCCCAGAGTCGGCCTCTGCTTAGCAAATAAATAATAGTAATGATGACGATCCCTCATCTTGTCACCAGGGCACACCCCCCGAGAGGGATGTGGTGTGTGTGTGTGTGCGTGTTGGGAGGCTTGTATGTATGTTTGTGTGTGGGTTAATCTTGGCCTAATTGGTTCCAACCCTGCAGCGTTTTCCCGGCGTCACCTCCCTAGCGCTCAGGAGCCGCTCTGTAAACTAGTGTGTGCTTCATCCTCTCTGCTTGTCTGCCTATACGTTCCCACTCCGGGGTGGAACCCGCTTCTCTCGCCAAGTCAGCTGGGATATACTCAAGTTCCCTACCATTCTAGTGAGCACAAACACGGTGGAAAAAGAATGGATGTGCTCTGCAATTGACTGGTGACCATTCCAGGGTGGATCGCGCTTCTGTTGCCAGAAGTCAAACGGGATAGCTCGGTTCCAGAGCTCACCCACATCGCAAATGAGAAAAGCAGCAAAAAGAAAAAATGGACAGAAGGAAGGATGTGCCTTGTGATTGACGGGCAAGCACATCCCGGTGGAGCCTGCTTCTTTCACCAAAAGTCAGCTGGGCTTGGCACCAGCTCGCTACGATCCAAATTACAGAAATGTATGGATAGGGTAGCGTTTCTTGGTTGTCAGAATTTGTCTTGTCTTACTGATCAGACAGGTTTTGTTGTGTCACTGTATGCTCGCTTTTGTTTTTGGGGGGGTGTATCTAGACTTAACTTTAGTTTGGCTGAGATTTATTTATGTGGTCGTTGTATATTATCTTTCAGGAATAAAAAGGCTATTTTGTCATCTCAATGTAGCATTTCTTGCTTTAGCTTGTAGAGTTAGCTTGAACTAGCATAGCTTAACACGACTTAGTTGATCAAATCTTAAACCGCTTGCTGGCACAATTTTGTCCAGTTTATTTTACAGCGTTCATAGTGATGGACAGATGTCATTTTGTCTTTTTTTTTATTTATTTATTTTTTTGGTGGAGACTGACTTTGTTTTGTTTATCTTAGCTTAGCAAAGCTTGCAAGGAGGTGAGTTCATCCTATCATCTTGTATTTTAATATAACTTGTCTTCACACACACTTTATTTTTTCATGTTAGTGTAATTTAGCTTGGCTAGTTCACATGGCTGGGTTGACCAGCTCTTACATTGTTTTGTATTGTACCAATTTTGTCCTGTTTTCGCTTACACGGCTATCAATAGAGTGATCATTTTGGTAGCTGAGGTTTTATGTTTTTGTTTGTTGAAAAGAAATAAAAATAAGGGGAAAAACAGCTTGGATTATTTTAGACAGAGACAGGAAGCAGTTCTGGAAATGTCTTGATAATTTGGCCAAACATTTCTCAACAACAACAAAAATCAATAAGAGTTCGTCAGGCAAAGAGAATCACTAATATAGTAATTACTTTTCATCAAACGAGGGTTTTGTAAATACTAAATGTTCAGGGTGATACTTTCTGCGAAGCAGGCGTGCAGCATGAAGCGCTAACATGTTTTTCTACTCCCGCATATTAGAACGGCATTATTGATAATACTGTGATATTATTACCTCCATATTTGAATATATTCATCATATATGATGCATATTATGATAATTAGATCATGCAAATCTAATCTCTTTGTATTTAATTAACTGAGTTGAGTAACAATGCAATAACATGATACATTTTGGTCCATGTTGATTTGGTCAAAATGCGGCGCAGGAGAGCCCTCTACCGGTCAAAAGATATATTACATGACAAACTTGTCAATGCGTTCTGTTTGTTGGGCTGACTATTTGCAAAAATAAAATAAAACAATTTTGGAGATAGATTACACATGGTCATGGCAAAAGGATCTGTCCATTTTATCCTCCCTTAGGGTCAAGGGTTTGATGAGAAGAGTGGTACACCCTGGAAAGGTCACTAGTTAATCACAGTTACAACATGCGTGGTAGTTGACCGCACTGCATTCCCCCTGCCACCCCCCAATCCATCCTATTTATGTATTTATTTATCTATTTTTGCAACAAAAGAGAAAGCAAACTACAAGGTTGCTGAACTGAGATCGAGTGAGGGATGAACAGGTGCTGTCATGACTGGTGACTTTTTAGGCATTTTGGGCATATTATTCCTGAAATGTATCTGCTTAAGGAGGTTTGAAATATCCTGCTGTGTGGCATCGGATGGGAGAAGCAGATTCTCGGGGCGGAAGTGACCCGTGTCCACCTACTCGCTGTTCCCACCCTCAGATGACAATTGACAAAGACATCTGAAGATAGAGGAAGAGAAAAGAGAATCAGGACACACGATAGCAATGCAAGCAAAGAAACGTGGTGCTGCTGTGCAGCTGTCTGTTTTGATGGTATCCTGGCCTGCGCGGCCTGTGGAATGCCATTCCCGTCATTCCAGATGCCTCCCGGCATGGCAAACTAGCCCCTCGGTGGTACTTGATGGAAATGACGCCGCACGGAAAACAGCTACCCATCCCTTCGAAGGTCTTTAAACGCGTCATAAAAATGTGGCCACTTTGGACGGATACTTTGGAAAAAGCCCAAAAATTCCTATACATTCTTAAAAATACTCTCCTTGTATGGAATTCCTTTTCACAGGTCAATAGGTTTATATGTTGAAGAAATATGTCACCTGTGTGGAATTGAAGTAATTTTTCTCTGGACACTAAAAAAACCAAAAACATGCATGATAGTTTCAATAAAAATTAAAAATTACTTTGGTGTGAATTTGTCTGGATGTAACCGAAAATTGACAGCCGACCAAACTTAGATGGGATAGGCCAGCGGTCCCCAATCTTTTTTCCGCCGTGGACCGGTTCATTTAAGTCGGCGAGGAAGTGGGAGGTTGATTAATAAAATGCAACAACAAACATGTACCTTTTCGAGCAGCACCAACACCATAACAATGGTAACAATGCTAATATCTATCAAACCATATTCAGTATATAGAAATATCACAGTCACATCTATTGGAGGCCAAACCAAAATTCATTGTTTTCATAAAACTGCTGCTAGGCAAGCATCATCGTCATCAACTCTTTGAAGTGATTGAAATCAAAATGATACTGATGTCAATGTGATATTAATGGTGGGGTGACGAGTCATTGTAACGTGCCACTATTGTACCATTTCAAAAAAACAAACAAACCTTCAGATCTCCTGCAGTAAATTGGCAGGGAAGAAGCCGAGCTTGCGTCCTGTGCTGACTTTCAGGTAACCATTCACCTCATCACCTTTCTTCACCACAATCTGCACCCACCACCCAACCACACCACACACACACACGCACACGCACACGCACACGCACACACACACACACACACACACACACACAAAAGACAATTAATTTTGTGCATCTCACCCAACCTTCTTGGTCTTAGTTGTCATACTGTGTGGGTGTGTGTGTGTGCGTGTGTGTCTTCACCTGGTCTTTCTTCAGTGTAATCTGGCCCATCTCTCTGTTGCCAACAAAGGAACGTGTCACCTTGTACACCCGCTCTCCAGCTCGTACTCGGATGATGTAGTTAGCCGGGATGAAGCCCGTCCTCTCGCCGATCTTCCCCTGACAGGAGACACACTTTAGTATGAGGCAAACGCAAGTTGGTGATGATGTATCATTTTACATTATTTATCCCCTTCCAACAATTTACAACTTTGAGATTCATTGCATGTATTTTTTTTTTAAATTTATCGGCTGATTGACAGGTTATTGGAATTTTATCCTGCCAAATATCAGAATCTGCATTGGCTTAAAAAAAAAAAAAATCCGATAAGTAAGGCCCTAATTTATATGTTTTAATACACAATGGTGATGACCAGTATGGACGTGGAATTGCCCCTTTTTTCTTTTGTGTTTTGCTGATTCGACAGTTTTGTCACACCTATGCTACTATGTGTGGCACGACGTGAAATTTGAGTTCTACCGGTGTCTCTCTGTGATCTCCAACCATTTGCTGAATAGGCTCTTAGTCAAGGTGCCCTTGACTCCAACCCCACCTTCAGCCTTCCTACGTTTGCCAAATAGACTCAGCTGCTATGATGTCGTCCAATACAATTCGGTCTACTTGCGTGACACCCATTTAAAGTCAGATGCGTGTTCTATTTCGAATTGGGTCAGGCTTTCTTCCGCTAACTAAAGTTTGAGGCAAGGCCTGTATTATAACTAGCATTAAAACATTATTTGGACATCTTTTTCACGACAGACACAAACATTTATGAATTCAAAAAGTTACTCAGTTGTGTTTAAGAATGACTTAGATTAATGCTAACACGTAATGGGAAACATTACAAACCAGCGAATGAATGACACATTTTAAGCATCTGATATTTCACCACAAAGAGTACAGCAGCACATGTAGACAAACAATGTAACACTTGTATCGACTCTTACGCGTCTCAAGGCACCACTGTATGAATAAACACGTTCTTGTTGAAAAGCAAGACGTACTCACCCGCCACCACTCCTCATTGGAATCATCGATCACTGTGATGCGGTCGCCAGCACTGGACAACAAACAGGATATCATAGACGACGCATTCAGAAAAGACATGAAATCTTACAGCGCGCTTACTGTACGTCCAGGTCATCTTTCTCAATAGCCTTGAAGCTGTACAGCGCCAAGTAGTAATGAGACTGACTGAACACGCCAATCTTCCCTGGCTGAGGCTTTTTACTCTGAGTAACACACAAGACAAATGTTGTTATCATAGTTGCCATTTCGTCACACCCTGGATTCATTTATTAATTAGCATCATTTTAATGTTATTCATCTGACCTTGTCTTCTGCTGCGACCTTGTCTCCTCGCTTGTCTCCCTCTGAGCTAGCTACAAAACCCACAAAGCTTATAGTATAATAATTACAAGCATGTGTAAAAGACAGTGAGTGACAGTATCGGATACTTTGCATTATGACGATACCTTACAACCCATACTGATAGTATCACGATATTTAACAACAGTGCTGATATTTTCTGGATGATTTACCAACAACACTGACAGTATATCAGTTTTTGAAAAGTATCCTAATAGTTTTTTTTACCAAAACTGATATCATTACAATACTTTGACAACAATGCTAATATTTATACAATAATGTTTACATATTACAGATTAGCCCCATTATTGATAATATGACATAATTCTTCAAGCGTTACTAATATTCTCACAATGATTGGCAAATGATAGCTCAAATTGTTATCTAGAAACTGTTACTACAAGTATCACAACACAAATGATACTTGTCAAGTGCTAATGATACCTATAGTATCATGATCATTTGCTCAAGTATATCCCATTACTTTGCTCGTGATGCAAACAGTATCTTCATACTTTGCCGTATTTTCCACACTAAAAGGCGCACTGGATTCTGAGGCGCACCCATTGAATGGCCTACTGTATTTTGTAATTTTTTTCATATATAGCATAAGACGCAATCTACAATGCATCCACTAGATGCATGTTCTGTTGGCTCAAGAAAACGCCAACAGAACACTACATTACACTACACCCTGATTTTTATAGCGACGATCAGATGTCAGTAAAACTTATTTAATAAAGCAGGGACACAGTTCACTTAACCAACAGCAAGTTATAATGTTGACTCGTTAACGTTGAACTCTCTTGCCGCTGCTCTATTTCTGTGTTCAACTGCGAAACCGATCGCCTTAAGTTTGAACTCTGTGTTGTAAGCATGTCTCTAGCAAGGAGCCATTTTGGGGTTGACATATTACCGTAATGACCATACACAAGGTGCATCGGATTTTAAGGCGCACTGTGAGCTTTTAAGAAAATGGAAGGCTTTTAGGTGCACCTTTTAGTGCGGAAAATACAGTACTTGAAACACAACAGGGATAACATTTCAATACTTTGGCAACAGTGCTGATAGTATCACAATACTATTCCAAAGATGCTGCTAGTCGCACCTATATTCCAAATGATACAGAAATTACGATAATTTGCCAATGACACCAATAGTGTTCCGATACTTCCACAATGATACTAATATCAGATTAATTAGTAAGCAATGCTCATGTTCTCAAGAAACTTTGTCAACGATACTGACAGTATCACCATACTTGGCCAATGATACTGACTATTTAACAATTTAAACATGAATTAGTGACTCACCAGCTTCAGCCCCATTCTCCTGCTGTTTGGGCTGGGACTCGTCGTCCTCCATCATCATCATCATCATCTAAAATGAATAGTACGCTATGACACAAATTACTGTAATGAACTGGATCGTAAGAACAGTGAATGTGTCAACCGACGTTCTTTTTGTCCTCTGAGCCTTTCTTGCGCTCCTTGTTGGCCATAATGACACCGATGCGCAGAGTCTCAAACACGGGGTCGGTGCGATTGGACTGCGCTGGCGAACCAAAATCACCCATGCAGCGAGAAGGATAACAGGAAGGAGGGGAATGGAAAAATAATCAACAGCAATTTTACCGACAAGAAAAATAGAACGCATGTGGCATTACTTTTGATTTTGCTTGAGGGTATCGCCGTATTAGTTGGACTCACAGAAAGGCAAAAGCTGGGAGACAGTCGCATTCTGCTGGCTGCTGTACAGAGGAGAACTGTATGCTCTCCTGAAGCCTGGAGGCTGAGAGACATACGAAGCACTGATGTGATGTAAAGCTTTACAAAAGATACTTCCATCATCACAATACTTTTCCAACAATACTGGCAGTATACTTCAGCAACTACATCGATAGCATCGCAGTACTTTGGTGGTCGGAATTCGTATCAGCAGATCTCACTCATGGATAATCAGTATTAGAAACTGAAGCATAAAGTCATGATCGGAACATACCACAAGATGTTGCAAATAATACTATCACAATATATTGCCATAGTATCAGTCTACTTTGCCAACAACACAGAAAGTATCAAGATACCGGTATCATCATGATACAATACAGTACTGATAGTATCACAATCACACCATAACAATAATACTGCTATCAGAATACTGCCAATATTATCAAACTGCAAAGAATGCTGCCAGTATCCCTATCCAATGCCAAAGAAACAGCCATGATTGTTGTCACTGATAGTGATAGTATCCCAATACTTTGTGAAGAATACTGACAGTTACACAATTCCCTCGCAATAGCTATACGGACAGTATCATAATACAATGACATGAGATAGAATTACTTTAAAACTAGCAGCTGGGAGACACAAATTAAAATGTATTAAAGTAAAGAAAGCTCACAATTTTGCCAAAGCACCTCTGGAACTCCACATAGGACTGACACTGGTGGTGGATGCTGGTTTTGCAGTTCTTGCAGCGCAATGCAAACTTGTTGTTTACTGGAGACAGACAAGGAAAAGGTTGAAACGAAAATGAAAGAAAAGAGCACAGTAAGTCAACTATTGTAATGCATGAAGCACTGCACATACAAACGATCATGCGCGCGCACACATCGCAGAATTTGGGCTTCTTGCAGTAATGATCTTTGAACTTGTGCGGCCGATCGTTGATGGGCTTGATGGACTCCGGCGGGGGCGGCTCATCTCGCTCCTCTTCCTCCACCTCCTCGTCATAGATGAAATAGACCTGCGCCACAACACTCGGCACCATGTAGTGAAGTAAGACTTCTCCAAAAACAATGCCAGTTATTTAGCAAAATTACTGTGATTTCCAAGGGGTCTTTCCAAGGATGATTACAACCAAATCTTTAACCCTGTATAATAGATGAGAGAAGCTAAATTGCAAAGACTTTCTTTTTTCGTCATTTATGTGAGAGGAACATGGCAGTAAAATGTGGCTTAAAAGTGCTCCATTAAATTATTTGAAAGAAAAGAAAAAAAAAACCCAAAAAAACACTCCCCATATTATTTTTTCTCCGGAACAGGACATTTGGTATGTATGATAATCATGAGTAGACCCATTAAAAAAATAATAAATTTTAAAAAAAAAGGAAAAAAACCCACACACTCAAAAAACCACACTAGAACACTAATAGGAAGTCAACCATTTAAGAGGGCTCAATTTGGACATTTCCAGGGGTCCTTTAAAGCTGAAATGTTATCCAATTGTTACCAAGTTTGAACCATGTATACTACACAGATGAATGATACTTCATTGCAAGACCTTTGAATTTTTATAATGAAGTGCAGACCCACGGCCCTTGAGGATTAGCAGATCAGATAACGGATGGATGGATGGTTGGTTGGTTGGATGGACTGGATGCAATTAAGTATGAGTAGATCATTATGGTTAAATTTGGCTCAGTAACTCCCCTCACCACTTTCTCAGCCCACAAGTAAAAAAAAATCCTCCATTCCAGAGGTGGATATAATCCAACTGATACAAATTTAGAACAATGTAAACAAGACACATAGACAAATAGCCAAATTGCAAATGTTTGGAATTCTCATTGCTGAGTGTGGATGAAACAATAAGGGGCCGGCAGAAAATGTCATGCTGACCCCATGATTTCTTTTTTTCAATTCAGCCCCAGTAGCTACTGTGGTTTCACTTAGCAACATGACATTTTTTTGGCATGTCTAACAGTAGACCTACTAAAAAAGTCTTAAGAGCTCATTCTCGAAAAGACAGAGGAAGCCTGCCATCTTGGTTTGAGGCAGCCATTTTTCAAAGCCCTTCGAAGTCAAATTTGACATGGAGACTTAGCTACCAAATTTGAATTAGCTATACCGGACAAATGTGTGAAGTGATGTTGTGAAGACGTTTTGCTATTTTACTATTTTTTATGATGACGTGTCATAACATGTTGGTGAAGTCTGGCCCGGCGGCTCCCCTTGAATTTTCTAAAAATCCATCCCCAGAAGCCAATTTGAGTTTCAGTTGGCAAAACGACAATTTGTAAGCATGTCTATCATGAGTACAACCACAAAAGTATCAAAACCACTGCCTGATAAAACTAATTTTGGTTTGAAGCCAGATAGACGACATATACGATAGACACGGGTGATGCTAAATTGCAAAGACTTTTAGTAACACATCATATTAAACACAGCCAGACAGCAAGTGTCAACTCTGTACATTCTGCTTAATGTCAAAAAATGAGTTCAAATATGAACTCCGTAGACTCGATACACCACAGGTGTGACAGTTTGAAAAGGCTTGGATCCCAAAATAGCTTTTGACTGCCAACTGGCAGAATCCCTAAATGAAATGTAACAAAGCTTGACTACGCTACTCCTAAAGATACCGCTGCACTGATCACGCACGCACATTTAGGCTTCAGACATGAGCGGCCTCCAGCTCTCCATCACTGTCAGGATTAGAGGTTGTGAAGCGCTCGTCAGGCTGTGGATTAGCGCTGCAATCAGCGATGATACAGCAAACCGTTCGCACATTACGCCGCCGTCAATCGGCAACGCTATCCAGTTGTCAGTGCTCCTAAAGCCGGCGGCCACAATGGCTCAGATCATTCCGGGCAGGAATTCCCTCAAGGCCTGACGTCCACTCTGGAAAAGTAATCCCCCAGTGAAAACAAGAGATGACGTCTCTCCACAATGTTCAAAAGTATAGGGGCGGTCATATGTTGATAATAACTCTTCATGTCACGATATGGTAGCACAATTTCTACCTCTGCAGTGTGTGCTCTGACAATAACGAGGTATTACATAACGAAAGGCCCCAAAATGCTTACTACTGTACTTTTAAATACAGTAATAATATAATTCGATAGAATGTAAATAATTAAACAGTTTGTGCATCGTGAGTTCATGTTTTAAATCATTGTTGTTCCTTGTGTGTGTGTGTGTGTGTGTGTGTGTGTGTGTGTGTGTGTGTGTGTGTGTGTGTCTTGGCCACCATAGGGCAGTACATACAAACTCCAATTTGATGATGAAACAGAAGACGATCACAACTATGCGGCAATATGAGTCGTTCTTTGCGGAGGATAAATAACATGCTTCTGAGTATTGTATGCTCTGTTTGCATGTACTGTATTGCTCACGTTTGTGTTCAAGTACATAAATTTAAATGTTTATAAATGCCACAATATCAATGCAAGTTTCATTAATCAGTCAACGGCATTTCATATTATGCATTAAGCTAGCAGACATTCTGTGCTAATATTGTTTCCAAAATGCATTTGTACAAATTAACACCTCGCACATCCTGCAGCTGAATAAATACAAGTCAAAAGGCCTTTATTTGGTGGTCCCAGGTCACCATGGCAAGAACAAAGATGCTGATAAATGTACCTTGTGAACACTTTACCTTCAGGTCAACATATTATTTATTGCAGCTTCGATCCAAAACAGCCACTGTATACTTAACTTGGGACAGAGCCTGAATAAATAACGCATGTAAAAACAACTTACCGTGTTATCTTCTTCTTTCACGACATTATCTGGCAGAGGGGGGTTATCATGAATATCCACAGAGCCCTTGTCATCCAACCTGTCATCGTCAAGTAGCAAAACATCACACCAAGTGGCAAAATAAACGAACCAAACAACAAAAAAAAAAAAAACACTGAACCTTTGTGAAGATTTCATAAAAAACAGGGTACTCACGAATCATAGTTGGCCATGGTACACAGCTGGGATTTGGGTGCAAGACGTATCGAGAAACTAAGGTTTAGAGTCACAGAAGGCAGGGTTGTAAAAGTATCAGTAGGGGTTTTAGGTATCAGATGTAACAGAAGCGAAGTTTTGAGTGTCTCAACAGAGTCAGACCACACACAAAATGTGTAAATTCAGGCAAACAGGAAGAAAGACGTGCGACAATGAAGAACATCTTAAAAAAAAAAAAAAAAAAACATGCGGCCATACAACACCGCAAAGATCTAAATACTGTGACCAAAAAAAGGCACCAATGAGCGACACGCACAATGTAGTTGATCAAACTGACCATAAATGTTGAACTCCACTTCTCCTCACAATTCCTTCTGGCTGATGTTCCAAATGAGGCTCCAACAGGTGGGAAGTTCAGAAGAGAAATGCGTGTCCAGCCCTTCCCAGCCTGCCATGGCCTGGCTCGCCATTCAAGAGCATGCGTGACAGTTTGGGACAGCTGGGGCACTTGAAAAGCTTTTGAAAGGCTCTCCCAGCTGAATGGGAAAGAATTGCACGGCTCCCCCAAGTGCGCCCGACCCCAATATAACCACTCATTTAAGAAGATGAGCACAGAAGATATCCCTATGACATTGCATTGAGGAAAAATGCATTCTGAAACTTAATTTCTGTATTTATGGCAATGACAATTTATTTGAAGTTTTGATATTAAGACCCTTATTCATAATCCCTCAAGGTGGAATTCAAGGAATGGGACGGAAGAATATATAAATTAGACAGCTCCTGTGTGTAAGGTATGACTTTAGCACCTTGTTATCTTGCTGACTTAGTGGTCCCTCATGTTCCGTCCCGAACCTGATGCTCACAATATACTAGTCCTTTGGCGATTCTGAAAGCGTAAAAGTTAGCACATTCTAGAGCAGTAGTTCTTAACCTCATTAGAAGTACCAAACCCATCCAATTCATTTGCACATTCACCGAAGCCTTCTTTCGTGAAAAATAAAAATATGATTTTTTTTTTTTTACACAAAGACATTAAAAAATGCATTTACAAAAACAGAAAAAACGTAAATACAAATTCAAGACATAAGTCTAACTTTTTTTAAATTGTATATGTAGAGGGTCTGTCGAACCCCTGCGACCGATTCACCGAACCCCAAAGGTTCGATCAAACCCAGGTTAAGAACCACTGTTTGAGACCATTCTCTGTATGGGTTAGAGCAGTGGTTCTTAACCTTGTTAGAGGTACCGAACCCAACCGGTTCATATGATAAATGTTAACCAGTTGCCATCTATTGCGGCCTGGTCATCCATCTGTGATCCCTATTCAAGGTTTCTTTAATACGCCCGCCCCGTGCGCCCCACCCGCTTTAACATGACCCTATATTGAGGTCACACGCTGTCAAAAACTGATGGATGTGCCCTATGTGTAACTGGTGACCAGTGAGGGCCAAGCTGTTCTCAACTAATGGAAGCTGTGACGGGGTCCAGTGCACTAGTAAGAACAGGCCGAATCTTAACTAGGGCTTGGGAAAAAAAAAGTTGACCAAGTCGAGCAAACCAAATAAATAAATAAATAAAAATGGTTGACGTAAACTATTTTGCCCCAAAGCATTGCCTGCACCATCCAGATAATTCCTGGACACACAAATCCATTGTGCTCTAAACTACTCACGATCTTTTCAGTCTATGGCGCCCTCTCTTGGTCTCATCGGGTGTTTGAGACCAAATGCCTTTCCTGATGCATCCCACTCATTTTCATTTGCCGGGTAGTGGAATTAGGGCCGAGCATATCCTCATTACAATTGTGGCGTTCATGACTGGGATTTAAACTCTGGTCCCCTTTACCAAAGGCAGCCATCTACTGCCTTGCTCAGCTGCTAGGTAACATGTTTTTCAATCTACTAATCCACCAGTTAGACCGTAGTTGGAAAGTACTGAATGGTGTTTGTAGACTAGATAATCACGCAAAGATGTGGGACGATTGGAAATATTAATTACTTGATTATTCAAGGGAAGAGTCGATAAAACATAAAACATAAAAAATGTTTGCACGTTCCACCATGGTCCCACCAGGGGACAAGAAATAGCAGGAAAAGGGCCACAACCAAGTAACCCGACCGCTGAACGTGTAGGCACTTCAGAGCAATAAAAGCACATCGAGCAATTCTTTTTCATTTTTCACCTTTTATATTTTTAAAAACAAACAAAAAAAATAACAGATTAAATAAAATTTACAGTAGACATATGCAAACATTGTGCACTTCAACTACATTTTCTGATACTTTCTGCACAGCTGTCAACAAAAAACGCAAACACAATGTGGTCGGGGGGTAGTTGGGCGTTGTGGGAGAGGACAGTAAAGAGGGGGCTATGTGGGGAACAGGAGCAGAGGATGAAAAGGGAAGGAAGGAGGAAAGGGAGGGGGAAAAAAAGGCAAAAAACTTTTCACTTGGGGAGGAAGAAAAAAAAAATCACTGAATATATAGATTTCTTTATTCCTTACATCACTTATATAAATATATTGAACCCTCTCCCTCCCCCGAAAAGAAGAGCGCAATACAGAACCCCACAACAGCAGTAAGGCAAACAGAAAGCGAGAGGAGAGTGAGAGACAGAAACGGAGAGAGAGAGACAAAGAGACAGAGAGAGAGAGAGCGCGAGAGAGAGAGAGAGAGAGAGAGAGAGAGAGAGAGAGAGAGAGAGAAGAGCAGCATGAGACATGGCGAGATTGACTGGAGAGAGCGAGAGAATGTGTAAATCGAAGAGGTGGCGAGCAGCATGAGACATGGCGAGATTGACTGGAGAGAGTGAAAGAATGTGTAAATCGAAGAGGTGGCAGGAGATGATTGGTGACGGAAAAAGCGCTGGAAGAAGTAAGGACGCAAAGAAAGCGGAGGACGAAGAGGTTTGACTGAGGTCAACTGTCCAGTGTGTTTTCCTTTGTGTGCTACGTGACCCTGTGGTGAATGTGTATGCGTGTGTGTGATTTCTGTAATGTGTGAGATCGCATTTCCGTATGATGGCAGCACAAATTTCAAGGGTGAAAACGCATGCTTGCGTGTCCCGTGTGCTCTTCCATTATTTAAATACAAAAAACGAGGAATAAAAAACAACGACTAAATCATAGTTGAAAGCAAACACCGACCACCTCAAGATTCACACCTTCCCTTTTTATACATTTGACACGTTTGTTTTTTTTTTCCTTTGTTTTAATTGTACACCAAGAGCAGTCCCCCCACCGAGAGTCCGCACGTTGTCTTCCTCTCACTGAGAGCTGGCTCTCTCCAACACGCGCAGGTCATAGTTCTTTTTAGCGGCCCTCAGTTTGAAGAGACCGGCTGCGCTGTTGTTCAGTTTGAAGGAAGCACTCTGGGCGGCCATGGTGCTGGGGAACACGGCCACCACCGTATACAGGTGGGCCGGGTCGCCGCCGCCGCAGCTGCCTGCCAAGCCCGCAGCCCCAGTGGGTCCGCAGCCTCCCCGGCCTCCCTGAGGCTCCTTCAGCCACTGGATCTTGGCACCACACAGCGACAGCTGGTTGAAGAGTTTTTCTGCGTCTGGACGCGAAATCCCTTCGGGCAGGTCCGTTACTTCCAGCACGCGACTCACCACTGAAACACGAGCAGATGGAGGAAGGTTCAAGAGACAAGTATACTTGTTGTTGAGTTTGGGTCTGTGGGATCTAACGTTTAGGTAATGGACGCCTCTTTGTTCACTGGCAAAATGGAAGGCTACTGAAGCAGAATGAACACAAAGTTCCAAAAAGTTGAGCTGAATTTGGGCACTTTCCCTTTTACACTCAAAGTCAGTATTGGCTCCGTTATTTTCACTTAAGGTTATCCTGAGCAATTATCCTATCCTGTTCTGGCGTGTGTTAACTGATATTGTTCCCCCTTGATCTGCTTGAGAAAACAGCCGTAGAAATCGAAAAAAAATTGTGTGTGTGTGTGTGTGTGTATGGTACCCAAAAGTTTGTGAAAATCCACAAGAGAAAAATCATAATTGTTTTTGCGTATGTTGCCATTGCACATACTTTAATCACGTTTAAACTTATCTAAACACACTAAAATGTATTAAAACAACTGAGGAGAGGAGCTTCATTTTGTCAGGTCACAGCCTTGGCTGAAAGAAAAAGTGCTTTAAGCAAAACAAACCATTTTGCATATCGTGGTGAGGGCACTACTACCGTATGTGATGTAGCGATTGTGTACATGCCTTTAAGAGGCGGTGCCTGGTGGGGTGGCGTACAAAGTTGCCGAATCTACATGTTGAGCGTCTGGTTGTGAGTAAAAAATATCTGATTTAGGCATTAAATAGAATTAAGCAGCTGGGCCTGCAGTGTAAATTCAGCCAAAACGAATATGAATCATTCTTATGATGAATAAATAATTTTGCCGCATCACATATGTGACATTCAAACTCACCAACATCAGTGGTGCCGAGATCAGTGGATGCCGACTTGAGCGTTTGCTTCTTCCCTCGCGCACCGTGTTTCATGACCCCTTGGCTCTGCACAAGAAAATGCACAAGAATGGATTGCGGGACTACCGTTGGGACACTAAATGGGGGCAAACACAACATGGGGAATTGAAATGTCCCACGTAAGCAAGGCCTGACCTGATGGGAGTTGAATGACGACTGGCCATGCATGAGCTGAGGCGGGCACAGGCTGTACTGGAGGGGCTGTCCCAATAGAGAGTAGCGACCATCACCTGAACACAAGTTGAAAGTTCAAAACAACAATGAGAGTTTTTTTGTGGCTTTAGAATATATAGTACCTGAATATTCATTCTCACTTTGAGTTACACTGTCGGAGATAAAATGTTGATTATTATGGCGGAATATTAAAATGATTGCAGAGCCAATCCAACAAAGTAAGGCTATGTATGCGTAAACATAGGTCAAAGTGCAAATGAGGCAACCCGTGTGCTGCGAACAGTATGTTTGAAGTGGCACAGTGCCAATCATGTGACCCAAAGAAGTGACATGACAGCCGAATGGCTTTGTCATCACTTTAAAGCGATAAGGGGAAATAGGTGAAAGGTATCACAAGCATGTGGAGTTAGAATGTTGATTTAATGTTGGCAACTTTAATAGGAAGGGCCAACGGTCGGTTGCAAATTACTTAAATGGGTCGTTTGGGTCTGCACAAACTAAGAAACCTAGACTTTAAATTTTTTGCATACAAATAGCTTGGTCTGTGAAGGGCCCGCAAAGTGTGAAATTCTACAATTCTTGTTCACCTGGTGCAGTCCCTCCTGGCCGTGGAAACTGGGGAATGAGGGGTAATGGTCCCAGGCCCGGACAGACACTGCTGACGCTGCCAGAGGGAGACGGGGTTGGAGACTGAGTCGGAGAGGCCAGCGGACTCGTCAGCTGGGTGCTGGCCTGCATACAAAGAGGAGAACATATAAAGGTGAGAATGACTGCTTGATAGAGCTTCACTTGACTTGTCGAAGCATGTGCACCTGTGGAGTGTTGTCGGCTTTGTAGAGCTCTCCCGGCTTGCTGGGTCTTTGCTCTATGCTGTAGTACTTGCACGGGTTCCACTGGACCAGTGGAGGATTCTGGGAAGGTTGGGGACCATTCGGGACACTCAGCTGCATCACCATGACTCCGGGACCAGGAGGCGGGACTCCTGATGAGACAGACAAATTATCAAAGTTGTATTTATATGATATACAGTATATGACATTCATCTGATGCGTTAAGGCGCAACAAAGCATGAACAAGGATGCAATTGATGGGTGACTGATTTTACTCCACATTCATTCACAGCCAAATGAGTGCATATGGCATTGGTGTTTATCAGGTTTTCTAAAAAGTCTTTAAATATTATCTAGTGGCTAACAACCTTTTTGTCCTTGTCTGAACTTTCCCCAGGTAAACTTTCACTTGGGTTTTATATAACCTCTGACAACACACGCAATGATGGCTAAATAAGATGGCCACATTGTTCGAGACAAAGTGATCGTCTCCACACCCCCATTTTCATTTAACAAAATATGTCATAATGTTGGCGTTCTCACCTGAATATTGCTGCTGTAATTGTTGTGGGTTGCAGGGAGATGGCGATGGTGTGATTTGATACTGTTCAGAGCTCGGGGGCTGCAGGTAGCTGACTGATGGGCTGCGCAAAAAGGAACAAAGACATTGTGAAAACTCTTTTATACAGGCACAATGTAAAATATCAAGAAATTTCATCCAGGTGTTAGAAATGATGGTGATATTTACAATTACTGTACATCAAATGGCCAACTGCTTTTGAGCCTCTAAAAATGGCAGCAGAAAATGGTTTTAGTTCCTCAATGATGAATCAAGTCATCAATTAAAGGTAAAAAATTGACAAACCAATCGTTTCTTGATTGTTTTAATTCAAATCCATTGTGAATATGAGGCAAGAAACAAGCAAACAAAAAAAACAAAAAAAAAAAACTAAATCAAACTTGTTCGTGTACTGTAAGGATGTCCCGATCACACTGTTCTGGCACCCGAGTGTGAGTCTTTAGTTTTAATGATCTGCTGATGTGGCATCTTACTCAACATATTTAAAAATAAATAAATAAATATGTGCATCGAAATGTATCGACGGACATGGATATATGGTACATAAATGTGTGTTAAATGTGAGTGTTACCCCAAGTGTTTTCACATAATTTGTGTGTCGCCGTTGCTCTAATTTACTACCGCCGCAGTAGGGAATAAAACCACTGTGAACATGCAGACGTGCATCAGTTGCGTACATGTGTATGTCTGAATTGCCACTCTGACCGCTACGTTCCTAAAATAAACAAATGTAACATTGTGTGGTATGAAATTAAACTATCACTGCCCTATTTGACAAACTGTAATTTTTTTGGAATGGTGAAATTCACTTTTTGCTCAGCAGGGGGCAATGTCCGCAACGCTACAATATGCTCTGGGCAACAGTCCACAGAAGTGAATTCGTACCTTGTGCTGTTCTGCTGTGTGGGTGTGATAACACTGTAGAAAACAGGCACGGGGCCTTGGACGGACTGGCTGACCGGCACCATCACTTGCTGCTGGTACTGCTGCTGCACCACCTGCTGATTCTCGTTACCCACTGGCACCTGCACAAGACAGCCGTATCGACAAAAGCAAGCCTTTGTGGATTTACTGCTGCTGCTGTTTGTTTTAGTGGACAACACATATTTGAAGGCATTTCATATCGCAGCAGTTTTTCAATGTCATCAAAAGTACCTGATAGGATGGCATCTGCGGATACTGCACCATGATACTTTGCATTTGTCCTCCAATGCCAGCTCTCTGGGAGTTGAGCAAAGCAGGATTTTGCTGCTGCTGCACCCCCATTATGCCTTGGTAACTGGGCTGCTGGCTGGGCATGATGGTCTGAAGACCTGGTCACAGCAAACAAGAATTTCAGAGGGGGAGTGTGGGCGGGGGCTATTCCATCTGGTTTTGGGGCAGGAAATTCCTGATTCTGAGAGAAGGTACCGGTAGTTACGTTTGTGGTGTACCACACAATATAAGAGAGGAGTAAACACAGACTTGCTGATTCTTCTAAATTATTGAAAATAATAATAATAATAATATAAATAATATATGACCCCAAACTACATTTATTTAAAGAATCAACATCCTAAAAAAGGTTGAATGAAGCCTATAAGCCTAGTGTCCCATTTTCCTCTCACCCAAATATCAAATAAGACATTGACGGGGGATCAAGGTCGCACTGACCGAGATGCACGTCTATCTGGCAGATCAAAGCCCCCCCCACCCCCAAATCCAGTGTGTTTGTCAATATTTTCCATCCAACACATAAGCAACCTCTGCAAAACAGAAATGAAAACAACTAGGGAGAGGGTCGGATTGATTAAGGGCACAGGTTATCCCAGTAGTATATAAAAAATATTTTCAGCAGATGGAGTTTTGAACAAATGGACAGACCTGACTGTTGTGCGGGCTGAGTCATGGGCTGCGTGCGCTGAGCAGTGTAAGACACCTGGTGGGATATGGGCTGAGCCACACGGTACTGCTGGCCTGAACTGGGATACTGACCAGGGGGATAGTATGAAACTTGAATCTGAAGACAAAAACACAAAATTAAACACAGGCACAACGCAGTCTGACATATGCAAAGGGGACCTTCTTAAAGAGAAGAGGGTAGCATTGGTACGCATTGCATTTTATCTTCCTCGTTAAGTACGAAACTGATCCCAAACTTTGGAGATTCTCTGTCTATTATTGACTCGTTCCGCCTGGCTCAACTTATTTAGACATGGAGTGGTGCTTGCGATTACAGTAACAGTCAGTGTGGAAAAATGATTGCTACGAGCCTTTGAGGTAGAGATTTTGCATTGACCTTCTTTGGTGATTTCATTATTTGATTAATGATCGCGGCCCCAAACCACATTTCATATTTTTAAGAAACACTTCTAGAGCAGAACATAATCAAATGGGGGGAAAAACAGTAGGGCAGTAAACAGCACATCCTTTCTTGTGCTGCGTGACAATGTATTCTTACACAGCCACACAAAGTATAATAGTTCATGACGTGGTGGTCATAACTTTGACACCTTGCATAACTGGTATGTTGTACAAGAGGACCCCTTGTATAGACGAGCATTAAGGGGAGAATGTTCATTCCAGAGGCAAGTAAAAGCCTCTTAGAACAGACTGTGGTCAAAGCGCCACTCTACTGGATAGGCGCGTCACCAAGGCCGCTTTAAGTACGACACTGACCAAACTTAAAACTGCTTCCCCTTTATCAGACTGTTGAGTGTGGAAATAGAACATAGTCAAATGAAACATTCCAGGAGAAAAATCAATAGGACTTGAACCACTTGTGTCTTATACAACGAGGCTAAAAGTGGCATATACAATTTCCAAATGAGACATCCAGCAGGAAGGCAGAGGGGAAAGCAAATGTGAAAGAGGATCGATCTGTTCTTCCTGCACGAAAACATGCTGCATTTTCTGAGGGTGCACCTGCCAATATCTCCACTCCTGTTACACTGGGGACCACCCACAAGTTGAACAACACAGGGCAGCATTCTGTCAGTAAGAAGGGAAACTGCCGTGCCTGCGATGCATGTGTGTGGTAATCCATGCAGTTGTACTGTAAAAAGCTTTAGGAATATACAGACATTGCATCGCTTTACACCTGGATACAGCACTATTGGCAAAGCCTCATCATTGCGTGAGTGCAGCTATGAAGACTCAATTAAAAAAGCCTACCGTTCTACCAATGCTTTTATCGAACACTTCCCATTACACCCGCCGTTGCGCATTTAATAGCCAGTTTAGAGAGTGTGCCTCAGATAGAGCGCAATTACAACTTTATGGATGAGATGTGCTGTGAATTTTGCCATTCCGGTCCTTGTTAGAGAACAAAGTTGGGCAAAAAGTGATGAAATGCCAAACAGATGGAGATGTTCAATCAAAGTTCAACGAAGGTTTAAAGATATTTCACCTGTCAAGATCATAGTGCATTTTAGGTTGATCCTGAATTGAGTTTATGTTCGATCTATGGTTAAGTGACTTACTTGCTGGGGAGGAGGCGGCTGCATGTAGCCTTGCGGGGGCGGCGCCTGCATAACAGGCTGAGACGGAGGAGGGGGCGGCGGCGGAGGGTGGGGGTGTCCTGTGGCAGGCTGGTAGCCCGACGGAGGAGGCATGGGCTGGCCGGTGGTCGCCATGATGTAGCTGGTCTGAGGAGGGGGGTGCTGAGAGAGGACTGTTGGAGGAGCCTGGTACAAGGGGGGAGCCTCAGGGTTCTCGCTGGAGCCCTGGCGGCTCAGCGTAATTTGGCTGAACTGGGGCGCCAGTTCTTCTCCCTTGAGGAAAAAAATAAATAAAAATTAAAAAAAAAAACCCAAGATCAAACCATGTAAAATTTCCCATAATACAATTCTTCTATGTATTGTTCTGTTTAGTTATTTCACTTGAATATACAATCAAAATTTGAATGGGAGGGAGAAATCAATCATTGGAGTTGGTCTCTTAAATACAAGTACAAATTTATCGATTACCACCCAAACCCAGTTCCAAAAGTTGTGTTAAAAATAAATGAACAGAATGCAATGATTTGCAAATCATGTTCAATCTATATTTAAAAGAGTACACTACAAAGACAAGACATTAATGCTCAAAAACCGATAAACTTTGTTATTAGAATTTTATGGCTGCAATACGTACCAACAAAGCTGGGACAGGCGACAAAAAAGACAGAATGTTGAGGTATGCTTATCAAACAACTGTTTGGAACATACCAAGGGTGAACAGGCCAACTGGGAACAGGTGGGTGCCATGATTGGGCATAAAAGGAGCTTCCCTTAAGTGTTCAGTCATTCACTAGCCAAGATCGGGCGAGGTTCACCTCTTTGTGAATAAACGTGTGACAAAATAGCCGAACCGTTTCATATCAACGTTCCTCAAAGTACAGTAGCAAGGAATTTAGAGATGTCATCATCTAATGTCGATAATAGCATCAAAAGCTTCAGAGAATCAGGAGAAATCACTGCAAAGCCGAAAACCAACATTAAAAGCCTGTGGCCTTTGATCCCTCAGGCAGCACTTCATCCAAAAAAAAAAAAAAACAAAAAAAAAACGACAATGTGTCAAGGCTATCACCACATGGGCTCAGGAACACTTCAGAAAACCAATGGCAGTAAATACAGTTTGGCGCCACATCCGTAAGTGCAACTTAAAACTCTACTATGTAAAGCAAAAGCCATTCATCAACAACACTCAGAAACACCGCCAAGTTCATCTTCGATGGACAGATGCACAGTGGAAAAGTGTTCTGTGGTCTGACGAGTCCACATTTGAAATTGTTTTTCGAAACTGTGGATAGCGTGTCCTCCAGGCCAAAGAGGAAAAGAACCATATTAACTTCTGTGAAGGCACCATCAATGCTGAAAGGTACATACATGGTGCCATCCATGCTGTCTTTTTCATGGCCACCCCTGCCTAATTCAGCAAGACCCTGCAAAACCCCGTTCTACACGTTACACCGGCGTGGCTTTGTAATAAAAGAGTGCGGGTACTAGACTAAACTGCCTGCAGCCCAAACCTGTTAAAATTCTAAATTAATGATTATTTGCTAAAAACAATTAAGTCTGTTTGAATATGAAATATCTCATCTTTGTAGTGTTTTCAACAAAACATAGGTTGAACATGACTTGCAAATCATTGCATTCTGTTTTCATTTAGGTTGAACACAACTTTATTGGAATTGGGTTTGTAAAATAGAAACATTTTCAATCAATATAAATTATTTTGTCACCACGCATGAAGTTATTAGGTGAAAGCAACATTGTAATGTTTTAATGGTTTCGTAAAGCAAAGGTGATTAAGGTTAATACTAACATTATTTCAATGAGGGCATGAGTGTGTAGATGAATATGGCATTGATTAACTGTTGTCTGAACATGTCAGGCAAACAAACAAAAAGTAATGACGCCACAAATTGGGCAAGTACCATTGTGTACTGCTGGGGAGGAGAAACTGGCAGGAGAACCTGGGGGCAGGAGGGGCTGGAGTAAGAGACAGCCTGAGAGGGCTGCAGAGATGCTACGGGCTTCATACATGCACAAGTACACGCGCACACACCACCACCAGAAGGAGAGAGGAAAAGAATAGGCACAGCAAGAAGAAAGGGGTCAGAAGCATACAAAAGGCAGAAAGAAATAAAGATACGTGAAGACATTGGATACGTGGGTCAGATCATTGGAGAAAAGCAGTAAATGATAAAAGTATTTTCATATTTTTATGGGAAAACACAACTCTGAAAATCTTCAAAACTTTTTACACTACAAATGAACAGGAATTGAAAGCAGAAATTGTGTGAAATACAAAATACACTTGCTTGTCTCTCACCTGAGCAATGATGTGGTTGCCCATTGGGTGTTGCGGCGGGGTCGGCAGCAGGGCAGTCTGTGGCAGGGCCTGGGGCTGTGGCTGCTGAGGCGGCTGCGTCGGGCAAGGCAGCAGGCTGCGGCTGGACTGGGAGGCTACAGTTGGGAGACACACATTAGGACTAACTCGAGGCACGCCTTGTGATGCAAAAAAGTACATCAAACACAATTGCACATATACAAAAAATACATTTTATATATTTATATGTAGAGAGAGAGAGAGAGAGAGAGAGAGAGAGAGAGAGAGAGAGAGAGAGAGAGAGAGAAAGAGAGAGAGAGAGAGAGAGAGAGAGAGACCACCTCTCTTTTATTTTAAAATAACAGTTTATTGGGCCACTAAAGAGCGAACATATTGGAGTGACTGCAATGCTAAAATAAAATCTACTTTTTTGAGCTTTGCACAACGCTGTTTTTCGTCTGAATGTGACTGTACATGTCCATCCTTTCATGGTTTGCCTAGTACCTTGGTTTTAAGTTCATGGTTTGGTTCACATTCACTAGAGGAAAGGAATAAAATGTAAAGCCAAACTTGCTTGGTGCTTATCTTTTGTGTAAACTGGAACCAATTCAATAACATCTATGGCAATTAAAAAAAAAAAAAAAGTCTTAAATCTTTTCTGTTCATGTGCAACATCAATAGTTTGATGATAGTTTCAACTGCTGGAATTATGCTATAAAAACATTAAGTACAGCATTTGTTATCATTGTGGCTATCTGAAAAACCCAAGGGTCGAATTTTTCAAATGTGCATACGCACAGAATTGTGCATAAGGCATGTGTACAAACATTCACATAAATCCGGGAATATTACAGCGGGACTGTGCGCAGGACAGGGTTATATACAATGTCATCTATAATTATAATGCAACTAAGGACTGATGGGCTGCCTGAAAAAATAACCGACTGAAGGTGACTGGCTGGCTGGCCGGCCACTGGCGAAGCACGAACCAGCGGAATTTACTGAAACGCCCACCAGTGCTGTTCTGATTAAATACGATTTGAAGTCGCATTCGTAATGTGTCAGCCAGAAGCTGAGTGGTACTGTGTTCGTTTACAGACTTGGCATGTGGCAAGGGAATGACGTATTTAGACCTCTTGTCCCTTTCCTAATAATTTTCAGTTTGAGAACTCTAACAGTCACCACAATCAGTTTATATAATTTCCTCATAACTTGCTCATCATTGTTTTAAGAGTAATTTTTTTAAACATAACAGAACCAATAATGAATTAAATAGTATTTATATTGATATTCCAATGATTGAAGGAGTGAAATTAAACTTCTGGAAAGCTTTCATGAGTTTTTTACTTGTGCCTGAATGTTCACCACGACTGTACTTACCTGAGCGAGAGCCTTTGCAGCTTCCCTGCGAGCCTTTGTTGCTGCCGAGGCTGTCTCCGCGAGTCAGGATGGAGATACCGGAGAAGCTGCTGGCCTTGGTGACGGGAGGCCGCAGTGTGCGGTTAGAGCTGTCTGAGTCGGTGCTGCTCCAGGGCCGCGGCTCCAAGCATTTCATGTCACTGTCCGTACTGCTCTGACGACTGCTGGATGCCCGGCTGGAGCTATCGCGGTTCCCTCTGAGAGGAAATGCAAAAGGAGGGATGGGATGAAACAAAAGAAGATTAAAAAAAAAAAAAAAAACGAGTAAATACAGAGCCAGGAATGAGGAAGACAGAAAATGAGGTCGAAAGGATTCAAGTCAGAGTTGCAGAAAAACAGGATGAAAGGCTTGTAAGAGCAAGGAGGTCCAGTCGAGTCGGAAACAAGTACATCAATAATGTCACCGTATGAGTTTTAAGTGTGCGAATTCTCAACACAGATGCAAAATACAAATCAGGCAACGAGCCACTTGACAAGAATTTGGATTTGAAAAGACATTCAACCACAATCTCTCTGAGCCACGCGTACAAACAGAGGAACACATGCAGAGGGAGAATAATACAAAATACGCTCCAGACGAACAACAGACTCCTTGACAGTGACACAGGATGAGACGACACTTGCACAAACAATCCAAGACAGGAGGAAACAACCAAGTAATGAACTGAAAATGATGCAGACAATTAATGGCAAGGTTGTCAAACTGAATTCAGTAGAACCTCCAATTCAGTTGTCTTTGAGTTTGTCAAAATATGTTGTCAAAGGAAGTGCTCTTTTACAAGTAGCCTTATGGGCATCTGAGCAGAGATGTTGGTTCAACTAACTCATATTTAGCGTATCTTCAAATGTTTCCACTTGCTATTTTTTTTAATCTTATTCTGGCTAAGCAGGGTACACACTAGTGATACTGTTTTTTTCAGGTCCAATGCCAATACCGTTGATGAGTTGTCCAAGACGCCAATAGCGGATATTTGAAGGTATCTTTGGGGGGGGGAAAAAAAGGGGCCTGTAAAACAAAAAATATCCATCCATCCATTTTCCGATGTGCTTTATTTTCACAAGGGTCGCGGGGGGAGCTGGAGCCTATCCCAGCAGTAGGCAGGGGACACCCTGAACCAGTTGCCAGCCAATCGCAGAACTCACAGAGACAAAATACCCTCCGCACTCACACATCGGCACAATTTAGAGTGTTCAATCAGCTCGCCATGCATGTTTTTGAAATGTGGGAGGAATCCGGAGGACTCGGAGAAAACCCACGCAGGCACGGGGAGAACATGCAAACTCCACATAGGAAGGCCGGAGCCAGGATCGAACCCACGACCTGTGAGGTCAGAGCACTAACCACTTGCCCCTCCGGGCCGTCCACAGAAAATATCAACATCAAGATTTTAAGTAATGCAAACTCACAACACTTTGCTCAAATTCCTTTAAGAACCAGGTTTTCAGATCTACGGCATGTTAAAAGTGTGAGATGCCAGCAGAAAACTTAGCGTCTCAAAATAAACATTTTTTTTTCCATTGGTCGTTTATCGGCTGTTGTATTTTTAAAAAATGGCCGATGCCGATATGAGCCAAAATTCTGAATATCTGCTTTGATGATTGGTCCGGTTGATAATCAGTCTACCACTAGTACACATATATCATTGGTCACGTCCACTTTGACTGCTCTGTTGCGATGAAATTCACGAATCTCGTGTATAAAAGATTATGCCGAGCAATTACCGTAATTTCTGGACTATAGACCACACCTGATTATAAGCCGCACCACTACATTTTTAAAGGGAAAAAAATATTTTGTACACACATAAGCCGCACCTGTGTATAAGCCGCAGGTGCCCATATTGTAACATGAGGTATTTACAAAGAAAGACGGTACACAGGCGGCCATTAGAAAAGTCTTTATATAAGCCGCTTCATGAAATAAGCCGCAGAGTTGAAAGCGTGTGACAAAAGTCGCGGCTTATAGTCCGGAAATTACGGTATATTGTGTAGGTAGCTTCCTCTCCAACATATTCTGACAACAGTCAGGCCAACAATTGTCAATGTTTAAACTGTTCAACAATCGCAACTGTCATGCGAATTAATGTTAAATAGTGATTCTGAATTTGCCGTGTTTTGCTTCCAAAATACAAATTATTAGACACGTTAACCTCTGCTTCTAATTTGTGTGACATTTCACAGTGTTCCGTAAATCAATGCCTGTGCAGTTGATCAGGGTTTATTGATAGGGGCAGTTTGTTAACTCAGGAACAAATGCTTGCACTTACAATTAATCTCAATGGGAAATTTGTGTTTTCTGTCATGGAATGAACTTTGGTTTGAGGTTGAAGGTTCCACTGTACCAGAAAAACAGCACATGCATTTAAAAAGGGTTGTATTACAGACAACACAGCACATATCCTCAAGTCATTTTATACACCATGTACATAGACCCACATATTTCTGAATACAAAACATTCAGACTCACACACACGTATACATAATCTACAAAATAATTGTCTGCTACCACTGGTTCATCACTACGACAGATTAAAACACTACGGTGTGGTATACACACACTGATTGGCCTATTGTGATGTGATGCTGTGACGCTGTCACCCTGGATGAAGTCAGTTTTTGAGAAAACCAATGATCACACTGTAAGAGGAACCACCACAGAGGGAAAGCCCTCCATCGCAGTGCAGCTGAGCTTACGATGTTATCAATGGCGATAAGGATGAGGAACGGGTGCAGGAAAAGGCCGAGGTTACCGACCCGGAGTCCTTTCTGAGATGAATGATGTACTGTACATCCGCGTAGTGAGCTGCTTAGCGGTGGCTGAAAATATATCCCACCCTCTATAATTAATGGAGAATCTATTTTGAGTCCTCTCTCGTTCTACCGCTTTCTGCACAACCGGTTTTAAGTCATGATGCCATGTTCTCTTTTCTTTAAGGCTGATTCACACATGGTTACAGATGGAGATGAAATGAAGGATGATCCAGGGGATAAGGTAATCATATTTCTTCTCCACGTTATGACAGTCTTCATTGCCACACACACACACACACACACACACACACACACACACACACGCACACACACAAATGTTCGTTTTTGGCGGCGCGTTTCCATATATAGTCAATACAGTGCGCGGTTGTGTGGAGGGCCGTGCGAATGAAGCATTTGAATTGAAAATGTTGCTTCTTCACCTGAGCTTGCAAAGTAACTTTGTGGCATTGCATCGCCGGCAGCCAATCAGCGTAGAGAATATACTTAGCTTGTCACACACAGCAATAGCACAAGCCCAAACAGAAACAGACACAAGGTGGTAAAATAATAATGAAGGACAATATCCTTGCGGGCTGTGGGACTGGGAGGTAGAAAACAGCTTCCAATAACGGCAGGGACCGAGCTAAAAAGGAGCAGACTTGGAGAATGGGGAGTGAGGAAGTTGGCATATCTGGTCAGTGTACGGACGAGTTAACGGCTCTTAAACTTCCAACCAAGACAGCATTTAGCAGTCAAACTAATAACTATCAGTCACAAAAATGACTAGCAAGGCTCAACCTTTTTTTTTTTCTGTCAGCGGGAGGAGGAGTCCTTCCTCTCCTCCACTCAAAGCAACTGTGGAGGTCCTTCACAAACCAAAGCATGCAAGACGTGGGGTGATTCAATATTTTATGTTCATTCTGAACTTTGTACAAGGGAGCTTCTATACATTCTGCCGTTTTGGTTAGCAACAGGAAACAACAGTATTAATGAGGTTGTATGCTATTACAGGTATTTACAGTTACCATAAATTCATTTGAAGGGTGTTAATATGAACACGCTGTGATTATATGAAACAAGGCATCTATTAGAGTGAAGGCAACTACACGAAAATGATTTTAGGCATTTTGGAATCATTGCAATTATTTCAGCTCGATAATCCCTATATGTTGGGGCTCCATTATATCTTATGATTGTTGTCAACGGATGACATGCTTACAAAAATTACAAGAATACGTCAACCACAAAACAAACATGTCGCTGAGGAGGCAATGTGAGTACTTTATACAATGGTGGCAGTGGATGGTAGGTCCAGAGGTAAAGTACATCAGTCAGTCCTCAGTGAAACCACAAAGCAGCCATGCATGGGCCGCAGGGAGCCCCACGGTGCAGTAGAGAGTGGAATAGCCATCAATCAGTGGACTATGCCAAGCAGAGATACCAAAAAAATAAAAAAAACAAGTCACCACTATCATCACTAATCCACTTTCAAGTATGGGCATGGCAACACAAAAGTATAAGTGCAGCAGCTCCCCAATACCTAAAGATCTGCCTCCTCTTTTGAGAGCTAGAGCAGTAGCCCTCGGTGGAAAGTCTGTTGGGGTTAATATTGGGAGAAAATGCTGGCATTACAAAACTGTAGTTGACAACGGGGAGAAGGGGGGAGGGGGTCAGGGTGGGTAGAGGTCATCACAGTGTAGCACTTTAGATCTTCAAAAGGAGAGGGAGGGATGGGGGAAAATGCACACAAAGCAACATTGAGAACAGTTGAAACCTCAGGACTCTCCTTTCTCTGCATGTTATAGAGTATTCCACAGCCAGAGTGCATTTGGAATAAAGTTGACGGTTCTGAGAGTCAACTTGTTTTCATCACTGCTGCTCTTCCTTGTACTCTTTTTCAAACACGGCAGGTCCCTTATGATGCTCACCAAGTGCTTATCTCATTCAGTACCAGCTAATTCTAGACCCCCAATTTATTTTACCCTAAATCTTGGAAAAATTAAAAAAAAAAAAAAAAAAAAGTATCTGGGGTTGAACGTGTGGAGTGTGAAAAGACATAAATATGTCTTTGGGAGTGAATGAGTTTTAAGAGATACGATTTCAAAAAGTAATTTGGGCTGGATTTACACTGCAGGTCCAAATGGCAAATAAAGAAAAATAATGATATATTTTTTGCAAAAACTGTATGTACTGATAAGTACATTTGTAAAATCGGATGTTGGGATGAAATATAAATACATAAATAAACAAAAATATCAGCCCACTAAAGCCCCATTTTGTACCACTCATTTGATAAAAAAATAAAAATAAGAAATTAACCGGAGTCAGAAAGCATGGATAACAAGGTGTCAGTAATTCTCGTGCACTCGCGGGGCACACCACTGCGGCCTCAAAGTGTTATGCTGTTACCCGTTACATTGTCCTCGAGGGGAAAACGTTTAAAAGAAGGAATTGGACAGATCCCAAGACCCAACATGGGAGCTGCCTTTCAGAGGTAGAGTGACTACAGGCAGCTGAGACAATTTGGAACCGATAAGGATTTGGCAACATTTCTGCTTGAGAATTAAGTTCATCCCCTTTTACATCAAATTCCAAAAAATTACAGCTTAAATCTGATAACATTTACTTTTAAAGTAACACTCCATTCCAAATAAGTCATGCTAGCAAATTAACAACCTAGGCTAACTTGTGCTTTCGGGTGCACGTCACATGCACATCAATGAGAGTCGTGGATTTTATCTAAACAAATGAATCAACAACTATTTTGATGATCGATGAAACATTTAGAGACAGTTGAACCCAAAATTGTCCAAGCCCTCTCAATTTCAGCTTCTCACTGGTAAATACTGTCAGATTTCTGTAGTCCTCCTATTTTTGATGTTTAATCAAAATGAGACATTTACAAACATCTGCTTCTACTTTGGAAAACAATGTTCAACATTTTTGCCTATTTATTGACATTTTACATACTAAACCAGGAACTAAATAATAATCAATGAATGTTTATGCATTTTCTGCCTTGTCAATTTGATATAACGTCCTGTTTTGGAATAAAGGAATTGAAATTTTGTGTGTATACTAATTGGAATGCCACTATGATATATAGTATGCTTTAACGCGTTTACGTGGCACTCACATGGGGAGCGTTCCAATACAGATCAGGTTTTTACTCACATTTGGAAGAGGCCTTATTCAATGAGCTGTTTTATTCTCATTACGCTGACATGAGACATATCCCAATTGGGCTGTTTCAGACCAAAGAAAAAAAACATTGTTGTGTCGATTGAACCAGGCAGTGTCTAAATCTAGCCTCAGAATTGTTGATTACAACTAGACACATTAACAAATCTGAGAACTCAAACCTTTTTACACTTATGAGATGTAGTGATTTAACCTGACAACCACAAAAAAAGAAAGAGCAAATGACGACATCCTCTTACCTGTTGTCGTTGATGTATCCATTCTGAGAGGCCTGCAAAAAAAAGGACACCTGCACATTATGAAAGGCTTCATTCACACTCAATCAGTGCAACAGCTTCAAAATTCATTCAAGGCACAATAGTTCATATACTATATATACATGTATATATATTTTTTGATACATTGCCAGAACTGAGTCATGCTTTGCAACACAATAAGGTTCAGCCAGTTGCCCTTAATAAAGTTTGGTCCGCTTAGCTACTATTTAGCTGCATAATCCAGGTTCAACTTTTGACAAGCTCATTCAGGAGAGTGGCCGGAGTTAGCGCATCTAACATTTGCATTTGTGCATTTGTAAAGATCTCACATGTACAGGAGCAGGAGGCTGTTTGTAATCTGTGTTTGGTTTACTAAAAGCAAGATCCAAAACTTACTTCTCGGGCAAAGATCCGGTCTCGTACCCGCTGATATTCTTCCTCTCGCTCCTCGATGGATTTGCTACGCCGACCGTCCTGCAGTGGTACACGGATCTAATATTGGCAAGGGGGGAAAGATTTGATTAGAATATGTAAGGGGAAATGTTGGGTGACAAAATGAGAAAGCAGTCCACTACAAAGTACATTTAAGACACAAATGTTTTATCATACCTGATTATCATCCTTGTCCATGCTGGCGTCATCTCTCTTGAGAATGAATTTCTTCTGGAAGTCCATGTTGCGCTCATCCTTGATGTGTTCCGAGAACCTTTGCTCGGGACTACCAGACCATAAAACGAGTTTAGTTATTTGGTGCTATGAGGAAAAAAAGCCAAACGGTCTTGGCCTGAACGAACGCTCACATGCGCGTGTTGCCCGTCTTGTTGATGATGACCGCCTTGCCCGTCTGATCCACGTTGTGATCCATACCAAAGTAGGCGGCCACACGGTGCAGCAGCATGCGGTGATATGACGTCATCTGAGGAAACTTCTTGTATTGGTTACTAAGAGGACCCAAACACACACAGTTAAGTGTAGTGAGATTGACAATATTCTTATCACAATGTCGTCTCGTGTCTATGAAAAATCGATCTCTTAAGTTTGACTAATAAAGTGCTGATAACATTTTCTGAGATCCTGCCAGATAAAAGCTGGCCTGCATTAAATCATAAACCGATAAACTGTGTCATAGAGCTTAACACCTGGACAAGTCAATAAATACACAGAAAGGGATACAAGAGTCACTCAAAACAAAGTAACTTACTTGTCGTCATTAATGAACTCCAGGATATCTTGTTCTAGTTTCAGCAGCATCATTCGATCCCTGGCAGCCCAAAAAGGGGGAAGAGAGAGAAATATAAGTGCCTGGACTTGTTGACTGGCTTACTTTTACATTTAAGACGCATCTATTGCTCCTGGCTAACAAATGCTGTTCATTTCCATTTCAAAGAGTCACTTGTAAGGGAATAAAAGTCAATCCCTGGGGGGGACAAAAAGATTGCTGACTTCTCAAAGTCTAGTATTTTGTTCATTTTAAGCAGCAACGAATCGGAGTGAAACAAACATTTGACTGCAAACCACTCGTGTGCTACAAACTGATCATGGAGTCACGATTTTAATTTGAGAATCTAAACAACAGATTGTTATGTTTAACTTGTGCAACTTATGATAGAGTAGAATAAGAACAAGTGACAAAAGGAACAACCTCCCACCTGGGATTGTTTTTCAGTGTGTTGACCAGAAACTCATGCACGTCAATACCCGTGGAATCAGTGTATTCCTGACTGGAGTCTGACCAGAGAAAGACAAAAAGACAGCCTTAATGTAGATGATAGAAGAGTAATACATTCAAGTGCAAAATCAAGAAAGCTACTAGGTATAACAACCAAAGCAGCTTCTGACACATTATTAACAATTCCAAGTTGCTGAGGCAAGGACGAACATCGGGAAAAGTAACGCACACTGTTCTGCGCCCTTATACAAACACACACGCGGGCGGGCGGGCACGCGCGCGCACTCTCTCAACTTCAGAAGATCGTTTTCACTATTTTCCACGACATTAAACAGTCAGGGCAACCATTTGATCTCCGCCGCACTCAGTCTAATGACGCCTAAGGGCCAGTGCCCCAAGTGGAAGGGAGGGAAGATAATGACAGAGAAAGAGCAAAAAATACAACTGGACATCATATAATAACCAAGAGTCTTGTCTGTGTGTGTGCACGTCTTCATTTTGTAACGTAACATGAATTATCAGAGATTGACCAGAGGAGACTCTTAGATGCATGTTAGACATAAAAAGCACTCAAGTGCAATTTTCTCATGCTGATAGCTGGGCTGGAATCTCACGTTTTTACCCATTCCAATCAAAGTCACAAAATTATCAGATGTCTCAAAAAGATTATCGAATGACACTACTGTGTGGGGTGTTTCAAGACTAGGGATGTACTGATAACAGTATCGCTATCGATGTTGTTTATTGGTCTTGTACTCGCAATTGAAAAATACTCCAATACTATGGCACCCCATACCAGTTTACTGGCCTGACATATACCTTCTCAGCAGGTTGGTTATGAACCATGTCAGCCATGTGGAGATCTACCTTAATGGTAACACGGATGACAACACAGGTCCTCCCCTAGTTAAGGAATACGAAGCGAAGCTCTAGAAAATCTATGCTTGCCGGACAGCCCGGCTCCACAACTGAACTGGAGAATGAACTCCACTTGGGTGGCGATGGAGGCAGCTGTCCCACAAATTGTGCCGGTGGGCAATCCGGCAAGCATCGAGTTTCTCAAGCTCAGCTCTGCACTGTTACAGTTGAGCCAGGCCACCTGCGTGCCTGTGACAAGGCCATCTCGGAGCAGGCCAGCTGGGCAATGCACTGCAGCTCAGCACTTAAAAAAAAAAACAAAAAAAACATAAGTAAGCAATGGTGTGAACCAGTATAATTTAAGATGTTGTGGTCACGATTTTATTTTATAACTGAATTGCCTCATATAACAGGCTACATTTCGATAAAATGTGTTAGACCAGAGGTGGGCAAACTACGGCCCGCGGGTCTTTTTAATCCGGCCTGCAGAAAGTTGGTACACAATTAAGGTTCGATGTAAATGATTGCATTTATTTCATTTGGACTTGTAATGACAGGCATTTCAACGCCAGGCGGCGCAGTTACTTGAAGTTGCAGAGCGCAGGTAAGGAGGGGGAGACGATATGGAAGCCCGCAGTAGCGCCAACTCAAGCAACTCCCGCTCGATACGACGGAATAAGTGTGTCCACAACGCTATTTTCCATCATTCGATCCAAAACAGCGACATGCAAGTGACTCTTTACTGCAGTGCGTTTTACTGGAATTGCGAAAATTTTTACATCCTGTTGATCAAGGCACCCAAACGAAGAGGAACAGTAATGGCCACGGAAGAGAAAGTGAAGTGTATCTGATTAAACGAAGCGGGTTACAAAGTACGAAACATTCAGGAGACGCTTGGAGTCTGAAAGTCTCAAATTTACGAGACTTTGAAAAACGAGGAAGCGATTCTTGCTCAGTCCGATTCTGGCTGTTCCATCGCGCTATGGGCATCGAAGACTTCAAAGCGTCCCGTGGCTGGCTTCAAAAATTCGTTGCACGACATCAGCTGAGCAACGCTGTCTTGTGTGGTGATCGAGGGGAGGTCAAGTTCGAGACAGTGAGTGAGTGGAACGAAAGCCACCAGGTCTTTTACTCGTCTCATTTTGTAGCAAATAGTCCTAACTTTGTTATATTTTGTCATATACCTGTACTGTATGCTGCAGTTTTTGGGCAATATCTTGTTGCAGTATGTTGCTTGTGTTGTCACACATGTATGTTGTTAACATATTTGGACGTTCATACAGGACATATACCATAGTTGTTTCACTGTTCTCATTCAAAAAAAAGGATGGTAATACTTTGATGCTTTTGTTCTGTTGATGTTTGGTATGGACTGTCAACATATACAGTTTTTTAGATGTACTGTATTTTGTGCTGACCCGGCCCACCTGTCAAATTTAGAAATCAATGTGGCCCCCGAGCCAAAAAGTTTGCCCACCCCTATGTTGGACTGTTAGGAAATCATAAAGCTGGATGGTAAAATATCACAAATTCAAGGTGTTACTTGAAAATAGGGGTCACCAACCTAGTGCCCGCGAGCACGAGGTAGCACCCAAGAATCAGTGGGACGTGGGTAGGTTCCAAAATTAGCTTGCTGGTGAAGGAGCATTGTGATTTTCACGGAATGTTGTATAACTGACCATTTGACAACGTAAACAATGGAAGAGATTTATTGAAATAAAGGTTGCATATTAGTATTAACCTGTTACATAACTGTTGTGAAAAATCATTAACATGATCAGTGTCTTTGCATAAATTAATGGCATACATTTTTAATAACTAGGCCTGACACAAATTAATCTTTTCCAGAATTGATTATCCTATAAATTCCATTGATTACTGGAGTAATTGCTCCCCCCCCCGGCATTTCGACCAATTTTTATGGTCGACCTAGCTGAGTTGGATATTTTTCCGAGCCCTAAAAATAAACAGATAATAACTTTATGATTATACGTAAATTGAGGAAATTCATTATTTAAGAAGTGTGTATGAACAGGAAGCCCTTCGCACTATCAATGAGTACTCAAATTAAAGTAAATATAAGTACTCGCCCTCTGTCTGAAAAAAAGCCAGGTATTGGTGCATTTCCAGTTTAGACCAATTTTTCCAAAATCTGCTTGGAAGGGATGGGAAGGGATGACAATCCTAACAGAAACCTGTTCAACATTCATCGACACAAATTCTTATGTGTGTGTGTGTGTGTGTGTGTGTGTGTGTGTGTGTGTGTGTGTGTGTGTGTGCGTGCGTGTGTGACGTCCTGTGTTGGTAATCGAGTATGTCACCACGATAAGAGCAGGTTTTTTTTTCTTCGTCATGTGTGGGGTTTCACATTTTTAAAAAACTGGTTAAAATGTGTCGCCATGTGCGTGCCCATGTTTGTCACACCAGCTTGGTTTATAAAGACAGTAACAAAACTCACATTGTTCCCAAGTTCAGGCTCCACCATAAACTTACCACGTGACAACATCTTCCGCGGAGCCTTGTCCTTTTTCTCCTTTTCTTCATTTTCATACTCATCCTTGGAGGACTTCTCCTCTTCCTTGTCTGACGGACAACTGATGTGAAGCTGGATAATATCCTAAAAAGAAAACAGTGCATCAACTCTAAAAGGTTGCATCCCAAAAATTGACACCGAAACTGGCTGTTGGTGTGCAGTGTTTGAAGGTAAATAGCGGTATGGTACCGATTCTGGGGGGCCATCATTGAAGAGACCAGAAGACTCCTCACATACAGCCAGACTCCTCACCAACTTCAGCTTAGCATTAGACTGAAACAGTAAAAACAGTATTTACCTGTTTCTTTAATATGCATTTGCTGTGCAACCATCTCAATGGAGACAAGATAACGTTAGGACTATAGATGGCTGATGTGCGTAACAGAAAAAAAAAAAAAAGACAGTTCTGCAAGGAAAGAGGACAGCCTTAAGTGTCACATGGCGAATGTACAGAGGCTAAATGTGGCAGAGCTCATTAGGACACGCTTTCCTTAGGCAGATTATGGACACTCAAACAAAATGAGAGTGATCCAATTGTTAAGACAGTAAAAGCTATAGTTCAGTCTTCCACTCAGGCACCATTTGAGCTAATCAATCTCCTTCACAAGAAGCATTGTGCACATATACATATTTCTATAGCATGGCCACAAAAATAAATAAAGGTAGAGGTCAGAAGAGTCGCATGTTCAGAAGCAAAAATAGCAAGTTGGTCATCATGCATAACTAACAGGAGTATCCAATAGCGTACGTAAAAGCTCAGCATGTAATAACAGATTTACCTTGGCCCTTTTCCTGCCATGACTGTGGTTAGGAGCCCGTTTCTGCAAGACAATTTCAAGCAAAGGTTACAAAAATGTAATGTCTAATGGTAAAAAAAAAAAAATCATGTTATATAAAGTATTTGGTTTCAATAAATTGCTCATGTGTGCACCGTGGGCACAACTAGTCAAGCCAGCAGCAGCAATAATGGTTCATGAACCCATGACGGAACAAGCAGCCAACCTGATGAGGCCAACTTCCAAATCAAATCTTTCCAACTACAGTAACACACAGACATTAGTTCCTTGATTTGCTTTTATTTTGAAGTTGTTTTGGCAGGGTGTCGTGGCGAAATGGCTGACTCGACTTGTTTTTGGAGTTGCGGCGTCAACGACACGCCATCCTGAAATCAAGTTCAATCGGTAATTAAGGACGCTAAAATATATGTATCTTATTACATTGACATTGTATTATATGGCGCCTGATGCCAGCATTAGTGGTTAGCAGCTAACTGCTAAGCAAACAAGATAGAAAGAGCCCTCGGATTACTTTTAACTACTTTTTAATAGACAAAAATGACTAGACGCGTTGATGCTGACAGCCTGACAGTTGCCACTCCTAATGATCACTTTTTAACAAACCATGTTGACTCAAATGTGTGGTTGAGGCCAGCAAAATCACGAGTGTGGATCAATTCGTCTCACAGATCGAGATCTATGGGGAGAGATTTGTCTAAATTGTCACTTATGAGTGCTGCTAAGCAAAGTTGAAATTTAGAGGGAGCAGTAAAAAGTTAATAATTTGTCTACAGTAAATTTGAAATTTCATTATTTTTCATGTTAAATTAACACCTTTAAAAACGCATTTTGCCACTTGCTGTCGACTGAAAAATAACATCACATGTACTCAGGGCTTAGGTAACAACCAGTCACGGCTCAGCTTGCGAACAACATAGTTGTTACTTGACCCCTGAGCACGTGATTGTCATCAATTTATTACAGAAAAAATATATTTTTTACGGCTGAAAAGTGGTAGCTAAAAAGGAAAAGCAGTTGTTCATTCAATGTTTTGCAGAACATGGTTTTATAAAGGCTTTGAAAGACCTTAATTATTGGTGTAGGAAAAGAGCCTATTTTTAACCTTGATTTTAAAGCATTTACACTTTATTGGTATGTTTTTAATCTTCATTCATATTATTCACTCAGATAACACTGGTCAATAAACATTTTGGTGCTCAGAAAGTTTCAACGGTTTTAGCATATCTTGATGTCGCTGAATCTGAAAATGACACTGTTTTTCTCTGAATTGACTCAAGTTTTTTTTGAGATAGTCAATGTTTTTGTTCAACAAAAGTGCTAAAAATACGCAAATTTTGACATTGGTATTGTCTTTATGCTACAAATTTGAGGCTGTATCTGTCTTTTCAAGCATGTCCATACAATATTCTTTCATTTTTGATGCAATATAATCAAAGACGCCACTCGTAACAGAGAACCTTCTTTCTGTATATCAAGTTTCCTGTGAACATCAGGCAAAAGATTGATAATATTAGTAGTAACAAGCGTGTTTCACTTTTATTAGAGCATCAACAAAGGGCTTTTTTGATGTCCCCAAATGAATTTTCAATCAATTAATTGACAAAATGATCAATCTCAACAACTCGAGCCAATTCTAAGAATTGGATGTCATTTTCAGACTCATCAGCCCAGAATTACACAGAAATCAAATTCAAATCTTTGGCACTTGAAAAAATTAAATTGTTGGCCACTATAAAAAAAATAAAGGATGCCAGCAAATCAGGAAAACATAATTATAGACGATTACAAAGGGAAAAAAAAACTTTTAAGGGCGATTTTGGGAAGGTGTATTATTCACTGGGAGCATTTTATACACGGCATTTTAGAGTATAGTAATTGTTGCAGTAGCAATACAGAATTAGCAATTACTGTATCGATTATACTGTATGATCTGTGCTGCTCACATATGGAGGAAAAAAAAAAACATTTTGTATTGGAGATGACCTGCAATACAAATAATGAATGAATTTTATCTCCCCAAAAATTGGAAAGTTTCAATTGTGTTCAAGCTTACTGACAAGATTTATGCGTACACACTGATCACTCCACCCAACCTGAACATCCTGCGGGGAGCTATCGTCAGGTTCCGGACCCTCTCCTGTGCCTTCCTTGGGGCCCTGTGGCTGAGGAGAGGTCTTTCCTCGACCACAGGGCTCGATGAGTGGCCCACTCTCTCCCTCCTTCTGGATGTCTGGGGTCAGGCTGACTGACATCTTCCCCTGGGAGAGGGAGAGGGTGGGAGATGGGGAGGGGGTTGGGTGCAGGACCCAGGAGCTTCTCAATGGAGAAACAAAACAAAACAAAAACATGAAAATGCCAGGAATTGTGTTTGTATGTGGTAATGTATTAATATCTACCTTTGGGTGGTATCAGATCGTCTTTCCACGTTTTACAGTGAGTGCGGCTGGGAAATCCTGGAGAGGAAGATGCGGTGAAGAAGCCACTAAGGTCGTGTACTAGGATGGACTGCAGCAGGAGGGGAAGTGCAGGCCATAGTAAGCCTTAGCCTTCCGGGGTTGGGCTGGAGAGGAAAATGTTTAGTTCATTTGTGATGCTCAACTGCTTGTTAATAGGCCTTTGATTGGCTAGCATTTTTATGAGACTAAGATGCCAGATACAAATAGAGGAGCAACTGGTCATGTTGAGTGTCTGTACAATTTGTGTCACAAGTAAGAGTTGTAAACCACATTGTAGTGTTCGGACAGGATAACAGTAAACCTAGCTTCTTGTATTTCTTCTATGACGACTGTCTCTTCTTTGTTGTACTTTCCAGCAATGTCAATGTCCTGAGGCACTGTACTGCCTCTCACAGGTCAGTCTTGTTACTACGACAGACGTGTGGTTTGTGGGAAGAGACTCGCAATTGTCAAAGATAGCAAGCATAACAAGTTGAGACCACTCATTGACACATCGACTTTAAAACTCCGTAAAGACGATTATATCTTCAACTTGATTCATGACATGTTTTGGCATTAATACAAATGCCTTGCTGAAATCAACAGGTGGCAAGTTTGTGCAGCACACTAGCAGCGTTACTTCAAACGTGTGGAAATATTTTACTAAAAATGAGACCAGTAGCATGCTCATTTGTAAAGTATGCTATTTACACCCGTAAAAATAACAAATGCACCCGGTCTAAAAAGGCAATCGTTAATGCTAGCTGATGAATGGCAAGCGGTGGTCCATCAATAGCCTTTTCATGGTGAGAATGAACATTTAATATCTTTGCCTGCAGAGAGGAGAAAAAAAAACCCCATCCAACTTGGGATTCTCTGAACCGTCAGTCAGGCTTTCATCCTGCAGACACTCGCAAGTCTTTTTTTTCTTCCACTGGCACCATCAAATCACAGACACGTTCATGGACTCAGGTACAGTTGAAATTGATGAAACTCTTTCAACAATCCACACAACAAAACTACAAGTTTGCTACATGACTGCAGAAAATCCCCTAGTCCTGCAATTTGGTTTCCTGTGTCCACTTATTATATATAGTAGCAGGAAGATTGTCATAATTTCCTACTGACTGCAAGAAACTGAAGGTGTCAAATTATGAAAGGATGAGCGAGTGTCTGAATGCGAATAGATGAATGAGTCAAGGGGGGAAGCTTGCACAATGGAGAATGATGCGGAATGTAAACGACTGAGCTTGTGCTCCAAGGTGCAAACAGCTCGACAAGAGGAAAAAAATGTAATGACTTCAGCATAGAAAATAAAATACAAAATCTGAAAAAATGTGAAGTCGTTCGACTCATATCACACACTATAATCGCACACACTTGCCAATATACTTCCTTGACTACATTACATGCAATTACACTTTAGAAACTCCAATTTTGGTAATATACGCGCTTTGAAAGGCCATGTTAGCATGCAAAATAAGATCATATTCGAGTTTTTAAATACCCTTACAAGACCACTGGATTGACCATTTTCTATCTACCCTTTAGTCAATCCACAAGCAATGGTGGTCTTTCGAGTACAAGTACTTGTGTGCGCGGCAATGCCACTTATTTGCCGGAGCGAGAAGTGAACTGGCGGCCATCTTACGTTGCCACTCACTATGCGAGCCTGCCTTGTTTTCTCTGCGTCTGTTTCACATTCTTTTTCTGTATCTACGGCGAAAATGACACAGAGTGTATATCGACACACGTGTATAAAAGTTGAGGCGTCTGGCAGGTAACTCACCGGAAAGAACACAAGCAGAGGTAAACAAACATAGCTAAACTCAGACGCAGCACGGAACCGCTCTTTTGGTGCGAAGAGGAAACCGACTGCTTTATTACGATGGTGAGTGACATGCACATAATGTTTTATTGACGGGAGAATGTAAGTAGTGGAAATTTGCGGCATGATGTTATCCGTTATTTCACAGATTAGATCGGAATATTCCAATTGATCACAATTAACATATATTGGGGTAATTCTATCCACTCATAGATGTAAACTGTTTATTCCTAATGTTTAAAAAAAAAACTATTTCGACCTTAACCCAAAGAGTGACTGCATATAAACGTAGTCCTTGTCAGATGTCATACACAATTTAAACATCGGTATAAGTGTACACGGTTTTATAATATAATCCAATAAACAATATAGTTACACAATCAGGTGAACTGAAGGGGGAGCAGTTCGCTGTCCAGTCGGAGGAGGAGGAGCACACCAACGGGCCAGCCACCACCTCAGCTCTCCTCTGGGGCCTCTCGCGTGTCTCCCTGCGACTCAGTGCAGCAACATGGTCGCTCTTCCACTCGGGAACCCTGAATAGTCAAAGCGAAAAAGAGTAAGACACGCATGACGTCATGTTTCTCAAACATACACACACACAGACAAACCGAGTGACTCATCTCTGCTGCTTACTGCTGCTGGATGTAGCGGAGAGGATAGAGGAAGAAGCAGAATTGCACTCCATCAGGTTTGTACTCCCTTCATGTCCTGAATAAATCACTCTTTAAAACAACTTTTTAAGGCATCCGCAGAATCTCTTCTATCCAAAAATATGCTTGAACACGACACTGAAGCAGCCAAACGGAGAGATTTGGCAGTGAAGTCAAGCAAATCAGACGATGCATCTTACACCTGGGGGTTGTCTCGCATGCACGCACAAATGCAGATTACTTGCGTGTGCTGCAGAATCGTCAGAGATAAGCGAACAATTGAGGCAGGGTTTCCCACAGCAGGGAGAACCCGGGCGATTCTACAGCAACTGCGTCACAGCAGCGACATTGACCGTGACGCCCACAGCTAGGCTTATACAAGACTCCCACGATTTGCCTTACAGAGACAATCCTCTTCTCCGTTGCGGTACGTCCTCTTATGGTTATGTTTAGATTCATTGAATTGGTAGCTTAAGCAGTTAAGTTACAGTCTGTTCGACAGTGTTTCTGATATAACGGGGATAAACGGGGAGTAGGTTGTATCTGTGTGTCACTAAGGGCAACCAAAAAAAACAAAAGACCTGGGGGTAGAATTTGACGGCTCCTTGGGACCGCACTGCAAAAATAGTGTGCTTATGAATAAACTGGCTTCACCTCGTCACTCCTCCTCCACCCCAATCCTCTTTCATGTTTCCTCCTCACCCCTGCTTCCCGCAACACACTCAGCGCTACTGGCACACTAGGTTGCCAGGGAGACGGCAACGTCATTCTCAACTGCTGCCATTTGTGTTGAGCAAGTACCAGTGAGGGGGGTCAGGTGGGGAATGATGGCAAAAATAAATACACAGCTTGTAGCACACGCTGAGAGGAACATCGATAGCAGTTGAAAGCAATAAGGAGGAGCAGTCAGGTATGCGTTCGCTAGCGTTCAGATTTCTGCAAGGTTGTTGGGCCTCAACCACACCAAATTGACGGGTGGTTGATTAGGGTTGCAAAAATCAACATGCTCAAGTGTTAAAGAACATTGTTTCCACAATAGTGACAACATATCTGTGACGTATCTTCCCACGAAATGAAATGAAATCAGCCATTTCAAGGTGTTTTTTTCCATCTCACGGGAAAAAAAACGGCTGCTCACCCCACCCCCTCTACAGGGGATTAATGCCAAGTATGACTTTTGTTACCACAACATCCAGGGCAAATCACCTGGTCTGTGCTGGTTATCTGGCGCGAATGTTGACGGCTTACCTTGCAGCTTGACATGATAATACTTCTGTCTGTGGTGCCTTAAAGTGGCAGATCTTGGCCTGGCCTGGCCTAGCCAACAAAGTCATGTTGGGAGAATTCAGTGTCGGGGCTTAGTAATGTAAATGAGCCCCACTGTTTCGTCACAATTCAGAGAAAATCATTTTCAGAGCGAGGCAGCTTCCAAATGATTTATGTTATTTCCAACTTCATGAGAGAGGAGGCACTGCACTGAGACAACTATTTGTACAGAAGCAATTCAAAGTAAAACTTCCAAAATGTTCCTTTTTAAGGCTGCGAGTGCCTAAATGACACTTCATCACATATTGAAGGAGTTTTGTAAACATTCTGAAGATGCAATACAATAGTTTGTAGTCATGTACTCCAAATCATCACTCCCAGAGTGTATTGTTACACTATCTCTGTCCTGTGTTGCATATGTGTTAGCCACATCAATGACCAATTCAATTTAAGCACTTTGCGGTAGGGGTCGTTAGGCCAAGGATGGACAGGAGAGACTGTGTCAAAGAGCAGGCAGACGACAAAAGCTGCAACACTGCTATCAGCCTGTGTCACCACTTCAATTGTGCCTGCTGTTATCATTTGACTTGACATACCACACAGCTCAGGCTTCTTACAACTACTGTACTCACAAGAGGTTATCTGCATAATTAAACTGTAATAAACCCCATGCACAAACACAGATGGCAATCAACACTTTAAATGACCAACATAATGGTTCAGGAAATATCACATCTACAACTGGCTGGTTGCAGTACGATAAGTTCAACTTGTTTCTGATTCTGCAAGGATTTAGGTCCCTAATTTTTAACATGCACTGGCAGCATATGCAAAGGACTGATTCGCAAAGGTTTCCCAAACAGACTACACTGGCTGCCCTCCCATGTGCGTATTCAGAGTTTCAGACCAGCCTGAACATTTTAAAATGCTGTTTTAAAATGACCAGCTACCCTCTTCCTTGACCCATCACCTTATCACAGTGGAGGGGTTTATGTGTCCCAATGATCCTAGCAGCTGAGTTGTCTGGGGCTTTATGCTCCTGGCAGTCACCCATGGCAAACAGGTTCTAGGTGAGGGCCCAGACAATGCACGGCTCAAAAAACCCCTTGTGACAAATACAATACATGGACAACGTTTACCCTAGCCCGGACAGGGGTCGGCACACCCACGTCCCAGAAGTGGCAGGGGACATTGACTCAAAGTTTACCATGTTTGATGCCACATCATTAAGACGGCCGACCAAAGCTGTAGCCGCAAGATGGTGGGTGCAATCACCAAACCCAATTTGTTTGTTTGTTTGTTTTTTTAAGAAGGGGCACTGTAGAGTGTGTTGCTGCAGGGGCATCACGCTCCTCAGTCTCCCTGGTAAGGTCTATTCAAGGGTGCTGGAAAGGAGGGTCAATTAGAAAATTAACTCTCAGATTCAGGAGGAGCAGTGTGGTTTTTCTCCTTGCCATGGAACAGTGGACCAGCTCAAGAGCTTCAGCAAAGTCCTTACGGGTGAATGGGAGTTCGCCCAACAGAGCCATATTCTTATTTAACTTTATTTCAAATTTATTTTCTAGTTCTTCTAGAGTTGAAGGATTATGGGATTTTTTTTGAGTGGTACCAACACACAATTCCACATATGACAATAAATACGATACGCAAGGTTAGAACAGCAAGACTTGTGACAATAAAAATAGTCCAAAATAAGATAAAATAAATATTTTAAAGACATTAAGGGAGAAGCTTCTTCACGGTTTTGAATATGTGCAGATAAGCAATGCAGCAAAGGTGTGGCTGCAGCAGATCGGAAATCCAAGAGGCTTGAAGTTGACACGATATTTACAAGGTCATTTTGTATTTGACAAAAAGAAAGGAGTGTTCAAGAATAGTCTTCAACATGCAGGCATAAATTGGAATGAGGGTATGATGATAGTTTTGAATCGATGAGCCTTGGTAAATGAAGAGATTGTGATTTCTACATCAATAGAAATGATCGCAATTTTTTTTTTTTTAATGGGTAATCTATATATTTTTTTCCTGTCAAATACTGTGGTACCTCTATTTACAAATTTGATTGGGCCTGGAAGAAATGTCGTCTTTCTCGAAAATTTTGATAGTCGAGACGCGTTTTCCATCTAAATGTCCTAATCTGTTCCAATCCCCTCGAAATTCAGACATGAATGTTTGCCGAGGCATAAAAATGCATCAAAATATGTAACAAATACATGTTACAATTAGATTATTGCACAATAAATGAGAGTTGTGCATAATGTAAAAAACAAAGAATCGAGTATCGAATAAAAATGGTCATTTAACTTTTAACTGCGTCCTCATTGTTTTTTGCCCTCTTTAGTCCATGTTCTCTCTCAGAAGTGGTTTTTGCCTCGTGTTTTAAGAACTGATCCAATTACGTTTCCTTTTGTCGGCTTTCAACAATCCTTTGAAAATGTCCAAGGCAAACTTCAGCATAGTGAGCGATGGCCCAACTGATGAACACTTTTTCTGAGTGATTCATATTCATATATCGGAACACTTCATGCCCCGAGTTGCAAATGATGCGGACGTTGCATCGACACATACTTGTATGTCTCTATTTACATACAGACACATACGGTAGAAGTCCCTCCTAGCCAATGGGATGCCAGGAGGATGCTTGGTAATAGCCAATAGCACAGCAGCTCTAAGTATGTTGCGTTGAGGAAACTCGGAGCTGCAAGTAGCAACCCATACTGTATTTTTACCTTCATATGTTGAAATTTCTTTCGTACCAAGAGGCAACAATTTCCTGGTGAGGCGATTCGTAACTTGAAAATTTCCGATTTAAGAGACATTCGCTAGTAGAGGTACCACTGTATCAGAATCGACATATGCCTCAAAATATTAATGTTAGTCGATCCCAATAAATAACTGAGCATGATAGCAGCAAACTACAAGGAAAGAGTCTGTCAATGACAAAACATCCAAAGTTTCGGATCAATGATGGCCACATGTGAAACGGAATCATTCTATATACAAACTGGCTAATGTGTTAACCAGTAACCAGCTCTCCAACTCTGCATCTCACTCATCAGGGCAGATCCCGCTTTTAAAGCCATACACACTCAAAGATACTACAGTAAACTGAAAGGATGGTGAACCCAAGTGGATGAAAAAAAATGAACTTCACATGTATGTTATTGTGTTTAGAAGTGAGAAGTATTTTTTTTTATCCAATTACTCGATTAATCGATGGGATAATAGTTTGAATACTCAATTCTAAAAATATATTAAAGCTGCAGCTCTCGCAAATTGATAAGAATGAATGCGTGACAAAGAGCGGTCAAGACCTCCCAAAAACCCCTTTTATGCCCTGAAGCAGCACTGCAGTGAAAACCAGTTTGACCCACTTAACAAGCACACAGTATGTAGTGACAATTTAAAAATGGGACCGTCCTGATGACAGGCAACCAGCTGAGGCGCAGGGGCCAAGCTTCCCTGCACCGTGTGTCAAGTTTCCACACCAAAGGATGCTTGCTTGGCTAGCATGAAACACTGGGTTTGCGCGTGCATCCATGTGGTCTCTATTCATGAGAGAGAGAGAGAGAGAGAGAGAGAGAGAGAGAGAGAGAGAGAGAGAGAGAGAATATCGG